TAAAAGTTAATCAAGCTGAAATAACACTCCTTACAATAAAACATGGTTTTGACAGTACAATTATTAAAATATAGATTAATTGTACGTAAGACCTGGAGGAAAACCTGGTGGAAAATACAAAAGACTGGATAAAGGAGCAAGATCCGACTTCCAGCAAGAGAACATGTCAAACTGGTCATAGAGTGGTTTAAGTGCGTCATGTGTGAGAATGTCCCAGTCAAAGACTAAGCCAAAATCCGATGGTGAATATCAGAAAATAATTTCATACTGTTTCAACTGGTTTTCCTCAGATTGAGGTATTTTGTAGAAATGGGGGAAATGTTAGTTGTCTGGATGTTCAAAGCTCAAAGTTACCTCTAAAATCCAAGTACTGACTTAGCAGTGCTAAATGCTAATGCACATCACACTTCAAATTTGATTCTTCATTCGTCTATCTATTTTCTGTGCACCCTTGACCCCGGGGGAGTTGGCAGGGGTGCGGCTGCCTATCCCCAGCGAACGTTTCGGGTGAGAGGCGGGGTACACCCTGGACAGGTCGCCAGTTTGTTGCAGGGCAATCTTTTCTTCATCTGTTTCTTTATTTTTCTTGCAGCATTATCCTTCTACTTCGCATTGTGTTAATGTGTCTTTTAAAATTCCAAGATAATTCGAAAGAGGTTGTTTTAACGTGATCAATTCTGACAAGGTGAACAAGTTTACAACCTTTTGTAGGATATCTGGTACTATGCATACACATTCAGTCTCCTTTACATCTAATGTCAGTTGCCATAGTGAAAGGACAGCCCTAAAGCTTGTTAGGTCACTGTCAAAACTTGCAAAGAGCAACCGGTGTCCAAACTCCCTCCCTATAGTCTTTCTATCATCTTCTAGTTTCTTGACTTGGAAGAAACTGACAAATAATGACAAGAAGAAATTTTCTCTGCACTTCATATTTTTCTCTCTAATGGTCCTGATTTGAGAAATTAGCTGACATACTCATGCCGTTGCTGTCAGATCACCCCTGGCAGCAACATGAGGCCTCACCAGTTAGAAATCCCACTACAAAGCTATCTGCATCTGAACATTTTCCTGTTACATGTGATTTATTCATGAGTGAGCACAAAGCAATCAGATGAGAAAATCTCCCGAGTGATAGGTTCATGTGCGTTTTGTGCACCGCCAGAGTGTTGCCAAGTGCTTTGACGTTGTTCATTCCATTGAGCTAAATGAGCACTCTCAAACACTGGCATTAGTTAGTGTCAAAAACCACTTCCTAATGTTCGCTTCAAGGTCTGTATCTTCTCACAGAGAAGCCCACTGTCTCTCCATATTTACCTTCAGACTTTCCTTTGAGCTGCTTCTCCTTTTGCAATGTTCTCTCAGTCTTGTTTGCGTATATTCTGTGCTGCCTGCTCAAACATACAGTAAATGGAGATGGGAAGGTACCATCAACACACGGACAAGCAACCAAACAGCCCCCGTGTTCTCCGAGGCTATCATTACAGGCATACCGGTTTCTACATGTCCTAGGATCAAAACAAAACATTTTAACACTTCAGATGATTCAATCAGGCTGAATCTACCTCGCATGTTTGCTGCAGCTCTGGCTCGCTGCCTGCTGTCTGCGTGTGTGAAGGAGTTGCTCCAAACATAGTGTTTTCTGGGTATGCTCACACTCCTCATCAGTTCTAGGACATTCTTCCTATGACTGTGGGACTCAGTTAAAGGTCTTAATTTATTGTGGTCCCTGGTTTGTGCGCCTGTGTGTGTTTATGTTGAACTATCCAAATTACCTCTTCTTACCAAGTGTCACAATGCTAAAGAAGACAGTAAACGTCCCTGTTCCCAAATAGAAGAGTCCTGGTCAGAAGTTTCCATCCGCTTGCTAAGGACATAAATGTCACGTTTATTTTGGGCTTTCAATGATGCATTTGAACCATTCTGGATCCTAGTTGATATCTCTATACAACATTTAGCTTGTATGGTTCTTACTGCACAACCGAAGAGACTCCTCTACAGAGGTTGCTCCACACAAGGCCATTGCTATCAGCAATTTACTAACTTCCTTTGTCCTATGATTTTTGTGACACTACTGTTGGCTCCCTTTGCTCAACAACTTTGAAATTGAGCCATAGACACTGGTATCCATTATGACTTCCATATACATTGCACTGCTGTGTGACATCCATGTTCTTCTATGCATGCGGGTTGTTTTGGGGTCATAAACCACTCACACATGGGGAGCAACAGACAGGTGATATTTCCAAACCATTGTTGGTAGGAGTGGTACAGCTTAATCAAAGTAATGGTTTTAACCCAAGCACCGAGCATTCAAACAAAACTTGCAGATTTTTGCTTTGATTGAGGCACTCAGAAAACTTAATACAAGATAAAACTACAGATAAAAATCAAAACATGCTTCACAGGCACAGCAGTGTTTTCAGAGCACCCAGCTGTGTCCATATTTCAGCCAACTGTTACCACTGGATGAAAGAAAACTCTTCAGGAAACACCCAGAAATGACAAAGACTCTTGCATTATGCTGGAAGACACAGGAACGTCGATGTCATTGATGAAGATTCATCTTTTTGATATCTTTTTGATGTTTGGATGTCTGAGATATTGGTTCATGTAAAAAGCGTTTGGAATTTGAAGAACTAGATCAGATTTTATAAACCACACCTTATGTTCAGCAGCCTGATGGTTGAAACTTTGAATTAGGTTCCTGTTGGAACCAGATAGGCATCAATTATGGGTTTATGTTATGAAATATCTTAATCCATTTGAAAAACAATTAAATCGATTAAATAAAAAAATCCACTGGGATGGCTAATGGCATTATCCAAGTGCATTTTTTTAAATCATTACAGTTCACGTGGCATTAATGTCAATTCTTAGTGTATGTTCACTGTTTACCAAAACCATTCACACACTTTTAAGCATCTATATATTTTTGCTCTTTACCTAAATCATTTTCTTTGCCTCAGAAATAAAGGCACACTTTGAATTGATTTTCTCCACATTGTTGGAAAGATTATTTCTTGGTCCGACATGCAGGACAGATGGAAATAAGATGCTGCTACATGAAATTATCTATTGATTTCCCCTTACCACAAATAAAAATAAAAAAGCTCAACTCACCTCAGAAATTTTCTAAATATCTTGGCCAAAGCAATGTGAGCCTCATCCACTGACTGTTTAGAAAAACTCACAGATAAAACTACTTGCACTAAACCACCACAGAAATATTTAATAAAAAATTAGTTAAAAGATCAATACATTTTGTGAATCCAGCCCAAAAAATGATCAGAAATATATTTTTGATGATGCTATTGGTATTATATTCACAACCAATTTAAATCCATGGCTTAAAAAAAGAAAAACCACAAATTATTCCATAAACTAAGAGATTTTCAATGAAGTGAAATACCACAAGGAATTTTTATTTAAACGCATTAAGTAATTTGTACAAAAGCATTATTTTGGTAATGGCGACTTTAAAATGTGCCTATATGTAGAAACTAGTCTAATGCATTGCTCAGGTGTCATTTTAACAAATTATTCCATAAAACCTGTCTTAAAATCTTGCAAGAGTCTTTTCTATACACTCCAGTTATCTGTTCTGACCATAAATTTTCAGTCAGATAAAGACTGGGTGATTCAATCAGCTTCATTTCCTTAGAAACAGATTTGGAATTTCCTTTGTTGGATTTTAGGGTTCATTGCCTTGCTGAAAAAAAAATCCCCCTTGTTTCATTCTTACATTCTTAAGAAAATTCCTCCATCTTTCCTTTAATCAGTCTGAAGGCTGTCGAAAGTCTCCCTAACACCTCAGTGTTCCTGCTTGTACTCATCACTGACATGTTTTGATTGTTACATTCAATGCAGTACCTCCTCCAAACATGTTATAAGCAGTGAAAAGTTGCATTTTGTTCTTATATTCTTTGTGTTTTATTGGCTTGTCGAAATGTGCCACAACATTTTTTTTTTTCATCAAACTAATGTTTTTTTTTTCCTTCACCAGTGGAGTCAATGTGTTGTGAACTTGGATAAATCCCTTTTTTATTTACTCAAAACCAACTGCTTTTCAAAGGAATCCCTACTTGAGCAGTCTTTGGCTTACAAACATCTCATCTATTTATTATTTTGACTCATGTGTCATAACTTTTGCAAGTACTAAATTAATGCTGGTTTGTAATTCGATGTTTTTTTTTGCTGCTGACAGTGAAACATTCAGACGTTTGTAGCAGTAAGGTTCTAGAAAAACTTGAGAGAACTCTTTCCTATCATGAGAAATGTCTGTTTCTGTTCTTCCTCTTGACTGTTTTGTTTAGATTTTTTAAAAATGTGTAGATTGTTTAATTTGTTGTGGACAGTGAAGTTCTTGGTGATATACATTAGCTGCAAGATAAATGCTGTAAAATAAATATATTTGTGACGCATATTATTTATCAGGTATTTTATAGATTATTCATTTGTTTCTATTTAAGTGAAATTTTTTTTTTTTTCGTGTTTGGATTTCTGTCGGAGAGATGAGCAACTGGCATAAAAAGCCTATTTCTTGAACATTTTCCTCAGCACTGTCTGCATCTGGAGGCTTGTAGTTGTTGAGTTTGACATATCCCTGCAGGCTGGTGGATGGGAAGGAAAATGCAAACAGCTTTCAGCCACTCCTGCCTCTGACTATGCCAGATGCATAATGCTATTTGTGATTTACAGTGCTCTGTGTTTTGGTTTGAACCCCTGTCCCAAGCCGGGGGACTGTATTGATCAAACACAGACATGCTGACATTGTCGACTTGTCATTACATGCGTTTTATGCCACTTTAATGACCTACAATAATCCACTGACGGAATTTTAAACAGCAATTGACGAATAGCCTGTGAAACTGCACTGTAGTTAGACCTCCACCTAGTGGTGATTTTGACTCACAGCTCAGATAAAAGATAATGAAAGTATTTTTTTGTTTGTTTTTGTTTTTTTTATTCCAAGTTGTGTGTAAGCCTTTCATGTGTCTTAGGAGGTAAAGAAGAAATTTGATAAGGAGACGGAAAAATACTACTCCACACTTGAGAGACATCTCAACCTATCATCTAAAAAGAAAGAGGCCTATCTACAGGAGGTAAAACCAAAGCAAATTTTCTCTTTCTGTGCATGTATTTGAAATAATTCCTCTTTTTTACGGTCAGCTCAATGTCCTTTGAAAATCAAAGTTACAGGGTTGTGTGTATATATATGCATGATTGTTTTGATGTTTAATTCTCTCTGTGCATGCCGATTTTGTGGAGTAATGAAGCATTCTCTATGTACTGGCTGAATCATTTCCGTCTCATGGCTCAAACCTGCTTTGTTTGCTCATTCTCAGGCTGACACGCAGATTGATAAGGAGAGACAGCTCTTTTATGACACATCCCTTGAGTATGTTTTCAAAATTCAGGAAGTGCAAGAAAAGAAAAAATTTGAGTTTGTTGAGCCGGTAAGTGAAGTATTTTACTTTTTTTTTTTTTTTTTTTGTAGTTTTGTTGCTGTCATTTTAGTTGAAGTAGAAAACAGCCTTTTTAAAATTATTGTTCTCTGTGTAATGGAGGCATCTCTACTGTCTTCCTTATCTCGTTTTTTTTTCCTGTATTTTTCCTGTACACTCAACGAGGCACAAGCAGGTAAAATTAAATCAAATTTCAGCTGTTAAATAAGACAAGTCCTCATCAAACTCACTTCACTTCAGATGTGCGGCGTGAACTTTAAAAGATTAAATTCTCTGCATGTAATTCCCTGAAAAAGTGAGTGAGGAGCAAACTTTTTTTACAAAAAGCTTCTTTTCCATTTATTTACATCCTCTGGCATCAGCCCACTTCCCATGCCAGAAATGCAAATCTGCAGGTAGTTGGTGAGGGAGGGGGGGAAATGTCAGGGCTCAACCTCAGTTGTGATGAATCCAGGCACAGATAAGGCGCTTCATCCTTGTTCATTTGATATACCAAACCTCAGCCTAGAAATCAAATCAGCGGTTGTGTCTGAGGATTTGACTGAGTGCAGCTCCATGTTTGTGGGATCCTCTGTGCTCAAGATGAGATCAGTTGTTTTTTTTCACTCCTGCTACACTACTGGAGTATTTCTTTTTTGCTACAGTGGTCAAGGAGAGTTGTGTGTTATACAGAAACCAAGATCAATATCTGTCTGCCATAAAAAGCAAAAACTTTCAGAAACATTTTTCTTTTCTACTGTCATCTTACGTGGAGTGTTAGCAACATTAGGATGTTCAAATTGATCGAGTTTACTGATGGAGTGAATGGATAAGATATTTCTTAGCATATTCTTTTAATAACTGCCACTGTTTTAAGGTCACAATGTTATTAAAAAAACAAACATTGAGCAATACTTGCAGTTAAGGGAAACTTCTCTTAATTACTTTAAATTATAATGTTATTTATACATAACTTTATGTATTATAATCATTTAGTAGCAGCAGTCCAGTTTTTGTCCAGTGATTCAATGTTGTCAGATTTATATTTAACTGTTCCCTGACACATAATGAAGCTCTATGTTTCCTTTTTTCCAGCTCTTGGCCTTTCTTCAGGGTTTGTTTACATTTTACCATGAAGGATATGAGTTGGCTCATGAATTTGAACCATACAAACAGCAGCTCCAGTTCAACCTACAGAACGTAAGTCTCTGCACCTCAAAGGGTTATACACAAAGGCAACCAGCCACATAATCAGATTCTGCAGCTTATCTTACCCAGATATAACAAGCAGAGCGCTTTTTCTTTTCCCACTGTGTGATGGCATGGAGGACAGATATTTTCAGGGCAGCGTTGCAGGCATTTACAGCGGACCATTTAATACTGCTGTGTCAAAAAACACTTAGGAGTTGAAAATAAAACTGCAGCCCCTGCCACCGTTCCGTCTTCCATCACTGCGACCTCGATGCTTTCAGCCCCAGGGTCCAAGTTTTATTTCTGACCCAAAATGTCAGAGGCATTGCTCTGAGAATTTTCACTCTATAACCCTCTCTCTATGTCTTCAGATGTGGAGAGCACTAATAGGAACTGGCAAAGGTGAGGCTGTCGCAGTATTCTGCTCTGAGATGTGAAGCAGCCTGGCCTTCACCTTCTTAACTCCAGAAAAAAGAAGAGAAAGGAAAACAGAGTCTTTTTTCTAGGTTTAAACCAACTCAAGCATATTTTTGAATATATTAATAAAATATATTTCAACATGGTGTTAATTATACTTCCCATGGGTGTCTTCATGCAGCTGCACAATTTGGAACCATTTGTCACGCTGCTTTAATTTAGGCACAGTGAGGGAATTCTTCATGCCAATAAAGTGCCTTGCAACGATCTACAAACCCCTTGATCTTTTTTTCTTTTTACTTTTGTCACATTACAGCCACTTCCTTAAATTATTATTTTTTCTTGTGAAAGACATGCACACTGTATTACATCAGTGTAAAGTGGATGGAAAATAGGAAATGGTTTTTGGAATAATTTACAAATAAATATCAGAAAATATTCGCTGTGCCCTTGTTGTCATACAGCAGAGAGGTCAGGGATGAAGTCGTGGAGATGTTTAAATCAGGATTCGGTTTTAAAGCAATTTCACAAGCTTTGAAAATCTCAAAGATTTGTCATCATAAAGTGGAATAAAGGAAGGAACGACAATAACATACTAAGGTTTTCCTCTTTAACTGAGAGGCCGGGCAAAGAGAGAATCAATCGTAGAAGATGCTTGCCGTAACTCTGGAGGAGCTGCAGAGATCCACAGCACAGAATGGACAATCTGAGTGTCAAAAATCGGATGTTACACATTTCCCTGAACACACCATCCCTACAATGAAGCGTGATGACGTCATTCTGTTGGAAAGAGAAAAACAGTCCCTCCAGAATGTTACAATGTCCTTTTGTGATTGTTGCAGCCTAAAGTTCCAGATTTTGCAGCACATTTTTAAAAACGTTGTGGTCGAAGTTGCACATTTTTTAAATTATCATCTTTGCCATAATATGGTTTTACAAAGTTGAAATTGCTGAACAGAACTTTCCCAACAAAAAACGTATTTTAACATAATAATGTTAAAAGAGCCAATAATATTTTCAAGTACATTCTTGAAATAGCATCCCTAATACAAATACAATTATGTGCTGAAGAGTTGTCAAAGTGCAAAAGAAGAATGAAATATTTCCATACTGGTCACGCAAGTTAACATGAACTGAATGCACAGAATAAGCACATGGTTTATTAAGAACAAGGGTCAACATTAGAGTTTAGGATCACACATGCTTTTAAAGATATTGTGAAACAGAAAGTTAACAAGAGGCCTAAGAGGATTGGTCAGAAAAGAGAGAAATACAGAAAACTTTAAGGTGATTGGTCATATTTGCAGAAAAGTTGTGATGACTGGTGAAAATTGCAAATCTATGCAAAATTTGTGAAACAGTGAACTTGGCACAGTCAAAGTCCAAGACATTCACCAAACCACTTGCAGATGCATTTTCTGCTTAAGTTGGTTCTTCAGTTAAATGTACTGGCAATTTTATCTTTTTATTTAAAAATATGAAAACAATCCATAAGTTTTATTACATTTTACAATCATGCAACAATATGTGTTTGTTTATCCATCAAAATGCCAATAATGGAGTGTTTGTGATTGCAAATGCTGTGTGTCACAACTTTGCATAATCTTGTATTTTTTTCACGTAGACAAGAAACAACTTTGTGAGCACCAAGCAGGAAGTGGAGAAGCTGATGAACAGGATACGATCCGCAGATCAGGACTACAAACCCCCCGGCCAGTGGACGATGGAAGGCTTCCTGTATGTCCAGGAGAAGCGTGAGTCCTCCCATCAGTCCACTCAGACTCTCTCATTCCTGCTTCAGATAGAAGTGCGTCGTTTTAAATCCATCACCATAAACATGTCTCCAGCTTTCCCAGGCTGCCGCAGAAGTGATCGTTTCACACGGAGCTCTATAATTCATCCTGTTTACGGATTCACTTTGATGCACTCTCAAAAGTGGATGTGTGTTGGGGGTGTTACCGCAAATAATAGATTTTTATCAGCAGCAATAAACAAATTTGGATTCATCACAACTTGATTGAATTTTTTTTGTCAGAAGTCCTTTCAAGAAGCCTGTGTTTGAGAGCAAGACAGTTTTCTTATTTGTTTCTCCTCTCTGTCCCAGGTCCTCTGGGATGCGCGTGGACCCGTCACTACTGCACGTATGACAAAGGAAGCAAGACCTTCACCATGAGCAACACAGAAAACAAGTCAGCTGGGAAACAGGTAGTTCAGCTTGGTTCAGTTTGCTTTCCTTGGGTAGTAGATGAACCCGATAAAAGCTGAGAAAAAGGGAAAAAAAACAGAGCAAGTGGAATCTGTGTGGGTGAAACAAAGAGCATGCTTGTTACTCCGCCAAGGGAGGCAAAAAGGAAGCTGTCAAAGTTACTCAATTAACTTAGAAAACAAAAGACTGACTGAAGGAGGGCCTGAAAAAATTTAGACAGAAACCAAAACCTTTTAAGAAAAAGAAAAGGAAACTCGAGAAGCAAAAATAATCATAAAAAAAAATAGCCTTTACTTTTTGTGTGTGTGTGTGTGTGTGTATGTGTGTGTTAAGTATGTACTAAAAATGTCTTTTCACATTTCAGGCAAAATATCTGAGTAAATATTTTACTACTTCTATTATTTTAGTAATTTTGAAAGCAGCTTTTTTCACATATATTTGACTTTTGTCCTAGATATTCATCTGAAAAACAAATCTATCTAAAAAAGCAAAAATGTGAAAAAAATAATCTGATTGTTTATGTCGAAACAAATCCTTTGTTAAAGTTTCTGTGATTTATTTTCAGCATTAGTAGTAGTCTATCAGCATTCCACATCATCCTTTGTCAGTATTGTCCCACTTTCCCTTGCAGAAATTCAGCAAATGTATTAGAGTTTGAGAAGTCCCCTCATCCACAGGTTGTCCCAACGATTTTCTCAGATTTAATTTTAGACTTTTCTTACAATGTTTGGAGACAATTTACTATGACTGAGAAACATAAAAGTAAAATCCATCTTTGCCTCCAGCTTTCTATCACCTGATGGTATTAATTCGACACTGATTAATTTATAAAAAGGGTTTTATGTTTTGATCAAAAGTTGAATTTTATATGCAAAAAATAGAGCTGCCTCTACCGTGTATCACTGACGGCATGGGGTGTTTTCATGATTCAGTGTTGCTTTTGTGCAAAACCTACCATTGGAAATTCTTGATCCAAATCTTAATCTTACTTTCATCAGACAATAACACATACTTAGCTTTTAGGAGGTCTTAGCCAAGACTTATAGTTTTCTTTGGAAGAAATAACTTCTCTTTTCCGGTCCTACTCTTTCGTCCAGGCATGAGAAGAATGCAGGAGATTGTTGTCACACGTAGAGCATAAATAGTTGTCGGAAATTCCTTCTCTAAATCTGTTTGAAACTTCTATTTTAAAAAAGGGTATTGTCTGACTGATTGCCCTTATGTCGCCTCTTTCTTCCCTTCTTTTAAAGGATTAAGGTATCCTAAGTTAAGTTGCCACAGGTTTAGGCTGCCAGCTAAACTGACAACTTTTTCTAATTTTCTTCCACTACTCTCCAATTTGCACCATAGTAGTTTCATGTCATGTCGTTAAAAGGGCTTTACCATATTTAAAATAATGATAAAACTGCATATTAAACTGCCTTTATTATGTTTTCTCTCTGCATTCCTTGGAGAATGTAGGCCCTACATTTAAGAAAAAGTTCAAGTTTTTTTGGGTGAGGTTCTGTGAAAACGTTATAAGCAGTTAGTATCTAACCTGTTGTAGATAACTTTGGTTTACTTTAAGCTTTTGGTCTTGGCCTCTGTCAGACTAGTTGTCACCTGCAGCCTCTGGAATCCGCTAATCAGTATTTACACAGAATGGAGACAAGATGAAAGTTACCTTCCACAGGTAAGATATTAACTTTTTACAACAATTCAGCTGGACCCAGCTTTAAAAATCCGGAGTTGTCCATGCCAACAAGATTTTCAAATCCATCATGCTCTGTATCGGACTGAAGTTGAAAGCACAGAAGGAAGAAAACAGGATCTAAAGCTTTCAGACTTCCTGTCATCTGCCAGAGTTGGCACTCAACTTTTTCTGCTCTAAAACAAGTAAAATTGCAAAAGTACATATTGATGGTAAATATAATGAACACTCCACACCAAAGTCTAGTTCTCTGTTATAGGTTTACTGAATTACAGTGTAGCCCCAAATTTGCAGTTAGTGTTAGAACAAAAATCTATGAATACTTGAGAATCCCTCTAAAAAGTATATATTTTAATAGTTCACACACCAAATGTGCATTCATATGCAGTGTTTTAACTTGATGGTTTGCAAAGGCCAGACAATATTGTGTCAAGAAGCTTTGTGCCTTCAGCTTCCCAAATTGCATTTTCTTTTGAATATTTTAGATATTTTCTGTGAAGAAAGCCACACATAGTTCAAATTCCCAAACTAATTTGGACTGACACAACCCAGAAAGTCTATGAATAGGTGAACCCATGAAAACTGAACTGGAAATAGGCAGATAGAAATATATATTTTTCTCTTAAGAACAGTACAATCTCTGTTCAGCTCTTACTTCACTTACTAAACATCTCACTGATGCTGAAAAATTTTAACTTTAAGTTGCCTTCTCTGTTATAACTTCCACACAGAAGAGTGTAGTTCGTAACATGACAAAGCATTTAGGTACAGCACATTCACTAATAGAGGAAACAAATCCATTATTGAATTTCCAACCGGTCAGGGAAACATCTATCTGGTTTGTGGTCATCAGTCAATTTGCTGTTGCATCTCTATTGTTTCCCATTTGTGGTGACGAAAGGTCAATGAGTTTTGTTGTGTCGTTTTCTTTTCTCTTTGTGTGGATCTGTTTGTATCATTCCTGTTAGAATGGCTTCGTCTTGAATCAGCCAGAGACTTTCAAGCTCAGGTCCTGCATTCGGAGGAAAACAGACTCCATCGACAAGCGCTTCTGCTTTGATATCGAAGTGGTGGAGAGGTCCGTGAGACATATCCATGAATTTTTGTTGTTGCATAGTCTTGGGGCATAAACAAACTGTGATATTTAATGCTGTGTGCATCACCAAGTCTGTATGGTATTTGTTTTTAATATGTCTGGTATTTCAGTATGCCTAACATACTGAAATACCAGAGGATTTATTTAAGACACACCGGCAAAGCACTTTTTTTTTTTTTCCAGTTACACTTGAATTCCTAAGATCCTGAAGCTGCATGTGGAATGTTCTGTTCTCATTATGTGTTGTCTTGAATCTAATGTATGTTACATTTTAAATGTTCTGAGTCGATTAACATCTTCAGAGCGTTAATTTTAACCATGTCAGAGATCTTCAGCACTGTTATCGTCCTGCATGTTTCCCATGTCCTCCTCATCCCCATCCCCGCCCTCTCCGGCTCCTGTTTGCTTGTTTGTCTGCGACATCAGTAGTTGTAGTGTTTTTGAACCAGTTCCATCTTTTGTCTGTGTTCGTGTCACTGTAGAAATGACATCTGTCGAGGAACTCTTTTCAGACCTCTTCAGTTTTTCTGTAAAGTCCGGTATGTGAACTGATCGGAGAATATGCATGAGCTGCATGTGTGCATGTTCATTTATAACTAATTACCGGTGTTGATCACTTGCCATTTAAAACATTAGAAATAATTATAAACTACATGCTGGATAAAAATATAAATACCTTTTGTTCTTACTGTCTGACTAAACTTTACTTGTTTTAGGTCAAGTACATTTACTGTAACTACTTTTGTTTGCGAAATGCCAAAATTGTGAGAGCGAGATCATTCAAATTCTTCCTTCATTTTCATAAAATTTGTTTCCAAGTTATAACTTCCTTTTCACTGATAACTTGAGATGCTGCTTCAGTATTTCTGCCTAATATACTTTCCTGATGACATCTTTTTGGTGAAGTACGACCTCCTGAAGCAAAACACTCCCTCAACATGATGCTATGTTCGTACTTCACAGTTGGGATGTTCTCAAGTTGCAGATTGCCCTCCCCCTTTTTAATCCAAATGTTTAATCTAAAGCAATCCCAGCTGACCACAGGAAATGTCTTCAAAAATCAAAGTGTTTGATTTACAAATTTGACGAGTGCCATCATCAAGACAATCCATTTTACTCCAAAAGGTGTTCATATCAGAGAAATGGAAATCGTCTCCTTCCTGGATAAAACGATAGTACATTCCTATAATAGTTGAGATTGTGTAGATCCACAGTTAGGGTTCCTGATATTTAAAAATACTTAAAATTCATCTACTGGCGTGTCTCCATTTAATTTGTATATTATGGTTTAACCTATGAAAATCTTGCAAAGCCATGATATCATCTTGGCTTCCCCAAAGGCATTTTAATATTTTTGAATTTGAAGTGTATAATCAAAGATGCTCTATGAAATCTTTTCTCTCATTATCCTGGCATTTAGCAATTACAAATTATTTCGTAATCCTAACTAATATGAAATAGAATCATTTCTTGTGGAGGAAGGTTTGTGTTTCCATACATATATTTACCTACAGTAATAATACACCTTATGTACCGTATTATTATATTTCTAATTATCACTGTTTCTCTTTTACCACTTAAACGTAATTGAAACAAATGGAAACGTTAATCGCTGATTTAAAAAAAAAGATATATATATTTATGTTGCCCCTCTGGGAAGATTTGCTATTGATTCGTATTTATTAGGCTAATTGCTAATCCAATTTCTCATTAAAACCTACTGTAGAGGAGAATAAGCCTTACTGAGAAGCTTCTCTGCTTAATAACACACCCCTAAATGACTAAGATGTCTGTTATGAAGGCTTGAAATGAACTAATCATGGAGATCCACACTTCAGATAATAGAATTTGCCCATCTTTTCTCTGTGTGTAAATGTGCAGCAGCTGCTTGCCCAGCGCTGCTCACCCTTGGTGAGTGTTGCTGAGCAGTTTATTTGCAGGACAACTCATTTATCTTACACTTCGATGCACCAAGGTGCCGGCCCCAGGCATAAGGACAATGCAGGCCAAGTTCCAGTCAGATTTTAGCTCATCCATTTATTCTCGTTATATCCTGAACACTCTGTCACACCTATGGCCCGGCCATAATCAAGCCAGCCGTCTCATTCTGGAAGGGTTTATTTGTCCAAATTACTGGGGATTGATAGGGATTTTCACAGCAGGAAAATACTTTCCCAGATGTTCAGATAGGAACAAAAATATATTATCTTCATGAAATCTTGTGCAAAGGATCACAACCACATTTATTTTGTAACATAAACTTTTTCAGAAGCTCTGCCAGCTTAATTCCAACATACAAATCTCACAGCTTGTTTTTTATTGAGAAAATGTTTCTATAAAGTCACAAATATGATTATTTTCTTTCTTGCACTAATGCAAATCCAGATCTGTCTGCTTAGTAATAACCTCCTCACTGTAGTAAAGTAGATTTGTCTCCATGCTAGTACTAACTGTCACTACCGGGTGGGTTTTTTTCCAGCGTCATTTGATTATGCCACTGCTACAGTTCAAATTAAGAGCAAATAATGCTTGCATGAGTTTTAGATTGGCAGCAGCACAGATTTTAATTGTATAGACAGAGACAAATTTATTGGCACCCCTGTTAAGATGTGTAAACAGCCTTTAAACAAACTCGCCTTTTGTTGCCGCAACATAATGCCTCACTTTTATTTGAGTGCATTTAATTTTTGGAAGAAAAAACATTCAGACCATGTAATGTACTTCACAGGAGGCAGGTGTTTGTTTTTCACTATTTGCTACCTGCTGAATAGTAGTTTCGACAGGCTACAGAGGAAGTTCTTGGTAAATATTAATCAATGTCGAAATGTTTATCTTTGTGACACTAGGAGAAAAAGAGATTAATTTTATTTCACTGTAACATATACGATATTGAATGTGTGGCGACATAATGAGCCCAAGATGCCCCTTTTTTTTCACAGCTCAGTTGTTTGATACTATTTAACTAAAGCCCTGTTGTGATGGGAAAGTTCAGTTTAAAAAGGATTCGTGTTCATTGTAGTCATTTTCTCTTTTACTTTGGCATTATGTTCACCTGTCTAAATTGCCAGAAATAGTTTTAAAAACGTATTTCTTACTGACTAGATGTAGGCAAGTATAGGTTTACTGGATATTTTTATGTATCTTTCCCAGGGGTGCCAACAGCTTGTTGCACACGCATGTTAGGTGCAAAATGTGCATCACTCTAACATAAAGACATGCAGCTTTTAGCTGGGATTGGATTGTGAAGCACAGAGCCAAGTGAGGACACAGTTTGAAGTCAAGCGTTCGCACACGAGCTATTTTAGTAACAGTAGTCCTTTTATAGATGAATCAGCCAGTGTAAACACGGTCCGTCCAAGGGCCCCACAGCAATGAGATCATACTGAGACCAGCTTTTCTCCTAAAACCTTCCAGGCATGGCGTAATGACACTGCAGGCGCTGTCAGAGTCCAACAGAAGACTGTGGCTGGAGGCCATGGATGGCAAGGAGCCGGTGAGGAGCTCTGTCTGTAAAATATTTATTCTGTTCACGCATTTTTTTAAAAATTTTTTTGGCTTTAGTGTTTAATTGTTTTGTCTGACCAGGCAGTTGTGTTTCCGACTGATTTGTCTGCAGTGCCCTCTTCTGGTGGCTTGAAATGCAAAAATATTTCACAGAGTGCTTATAAGCTTTGGGGCACTGGAACATATCTGGGTCATTTTTTTTTTTTTACATGTAAAAGCAGTGAAGTAATGACTTTTTTCCAAACTCTCTGCAGATTTATAACCTGCCAGCCATACTAAGCAAAAAAGAGGAAAGTAAGTGTGTTTTTTTTCTGTCTTTCCAAAACCTTTTCATCATTAAACTACATATATTCGTGCTTGATAATAAGTTAATAGAGTCACCACACATAAATAAACAAGTAGGTTTCTTTCTTACTTATAGCTATATCTGCTCATTAACACAGTTATTCGGTTTTCGCCCACTCGGCTGACACAGCAGAGCCTTCCAGCACAGAAGCTGTATCTTATTAATCGTGTTAGTTTGAGCCAAGGCATAAGGGAAGGCTGATTATTCCTATGTGATATGTAGTTAACCCAGCCGGTAATTGACATGTCAAACCCCCTTTTTGTGTTATGTTCCAGCGTATCTTAACGAGGCAGGTTTTAACTTCGTGAGGAAATGCGTCGACCTCGTCGAGACGAGAGGTGAGGCATTTAAATCCCTTCAGCTTTCATGTGTCGAATGACTGGAACGCTACCTGGTCCTGATTAATTGACTTTGTTCATTGATATTCATTCTAATATAGTGAAATTGCTAATTACAATTAGCAATTTTTCACATTTTGTAATGTTACAACCACAAAGAGTGTTTTGTTGCACCTTTAACACTAAATAGTACATTGTCTTCATGTTATTCATTGATTTATAAATGTTCCCAACTAAATATTTAAGAATTGTCAAGAAAATCCGAGATCATTCCACTTCCTGAGAAGAGCATTAATCATAAAGACAGCCAGAATGTCTATCGTAACTCTGGACAAGCTGCAGAGATCCACAGCTGGTGTTGAGGGAATTCTCCTAACAGTGTAACTGTTAGTTGTGCAATCCACTTATTTTTTTAATTGAAGACTGGCAAGAAGGAAAATATTGCTTAACGAAACAATGGCTCATTTCCAGTTTGCCCCCAAAGACTTGGAGGTCACATCAAAGAAGGCTTCCTCTACATAGCTTATGCAATAAAGTTCCTTTGGGGACACAGAACAAATGTAACTTTTTGGCCAAATCTGGAGAAGAACTCTGACTTTACATCACCCCTGAACACATCTTCCCTACAGTTCCACATAGTGGCGGAAACATCAAGCTGTGAGGATTATTTTCTTCAACAGAGAGAGGGCAAATGGCGGGGAAAATACAACGCAGCACTGTTAGAGGCTGCAAAAGTCTTGAGATAGAAGCAGAGGGTCATACATACAACAGAATGGTTTAGATCCAAGAATATTCAGTGAGAGAATGAACCATGTCCAGAAAAATTGTGAATAAGCCATGAAGTTTGAAAGGTGATTTTCATAGACCCTCTCATCTGCATCCAGTCTGAGTGTGCCTCAGCTGGTCTGTGAATAAGAATGAAAAAAATGTACAAATACACTCACAAGATGTGGTTTTACGGAACATTTAATCAGTGGAGGTCATTGCAAATATGCACCACACTTTTCAGATTTTTGTATTTTGGAAAATAATTTCTTATTTTACATGCAGGTCACATACATTTAATGATGGTTTATCACATTAAATCCCAATTAAACAGATTTGACGTTTAACCAAAGAAATACTTTCACAAACTGTAACTGAACTTATGTGTTTATTTAAAGGAATTAATCGTTTTGTTTTTCCATTTCTTTCTAGGCATCCATACATTGGGGCTGTATAGAATTGGAGGGGTAAACTCCAAAGTACAGAGGCTGATGAGCACAGTCTTTTGTAAGTAGTTTCATTTTCTAGTGAAAATTGTAAATTAGTCACTGTGAGTTTAGTGCCTTTCCAAACATGATGTAGTCTTTCAGAGTGAGGGAAGAGCTCCTCTTTGTGGTCAGAGTGTGTAACTGCCATCTGGGCTCATTTTGTAGCGCCTTACCTCATTAAATTACCCAAGGTAATTCTGTTTACACACATTTTATGGACTTGAACAGAAAATGTCACCAAAATCCCTCTACAGCTCGAGCTCCATCTCTGTAGGTTTGCACATGTGTGCTTTAGGTTTTCCTCTAGCATCTCTTTATCCAAGGAGACAGTTACTATTTTTAATACCCTCTTAAACATCAGACTCAAACATCAGACTCTGTTGGTTTCATGCTGGCAGATCGGAAAACAATCACTGTGTGGGAGCTATATAAAAAAAACCAAAATGATAATAAAACTAAAACTCATTTTCATCAGCTTCCAAAGCACCTGTGAATATGGAGCTGGATCCTGAAATGTGGGACAACAAAACCATCACCAGTGGTCTGAAGAATTACCTCAGGTCAGCTCGCCTCACCAGCTGCATGTCCTTAACTGTCAAGAGTAATCACTGCCTCCATTATGACCCTGAAAGCACCCTGCTCTTAGCCATGCATTCAGAGTTATTGTTGACACACACAGGAAGGTGCTGCATTCAGAGGTCCGGTCTCACAAAATAACTGTAAATTATAACTGGACTTTGTTTTCCTCCCCCATCAGGTGTCTCTCTGAGCCTCTCATGACTTTCAAGCTGCACAAAGATTTCATCATGGCTGTCAGTAAGTTCCGAAAAGGTTGGCTTATGTACACCGCTGAAGGTTTCTACACCCTTAAGATCATTTCTTATTTTATTACGGTAGCATACTCGTCCACAGACGGATTTTAGGAAAATCCAGCTTAGTGGTTCTTAGTATTCATGTTTAAAGATCTGATGTCTGCTGCAGAAAAAATGAATGAGAAACAAAACCTTTTTTATCTAATTTGTTTACAATTGACAAGCACTTTCGGCAGTTTTTTTGTTAATAGTAAAGTAAAATTTTATCAACTCAATAATAATTTGACCCCTTTACAAATAAAGGCCCTTCTTTAGAATTTATTGTATTTCACAGCTTTTTTCATCCCATGCTGTAGGCATTCTTCAGTCACTTGCATGTTGTTTATAGAAATAAAACTGTTTATGGAGGAATTCAAGTTTGTAGCATTTATGCCTATAAATATTCCATTTAAACTGATATTAATACTGCATATGTCATAAAAGACGGAGCAGAAAAAGTTCCCCTCCCAGGCACTATTTAATGTTCTGGTTTGGCAAGAATCAAACGAGGAAACACTCAAACATTTAAACCTCCCCCTGTTTTTAGCTCAGAGTCAGTTCCATGCTGTGATTTTGATCTTCCTGCAAATCGGAATTATCAAAAGAAGAAATTTAAAGTATAGAAGAATGCTTAACTTGGCCAATGAGATTAAATACAAGAAAAGTAAATAATAGCCAAAAATAAATAAGGGACATACTGGATAACTGTCAGACCTTTGTCTGATGTTATTGTATGCTGATTCCACACATTTTTGCTCTTTCTCAGAGTCTGATGATCAAAACTACAGAGTGTGTGCTGTTCATGCGTTGGTGCATAAGCTACCTGAGAGGAACAGGGAAATGCTGGAGTTACTGATAAAACACCTTGTCATGTAGGTGTTTCTGTAATGAAGCAATTGCACAAAAATGTGACCTTTTGAGGGAAGAAATGAAGATATAAAACTAATTAAACTCTCTTCACGTCGGCATGCAGAGTTTCTGCACAAAACAAGTCCAACTTGATGACGGTCTCCAACCTGGGTGTTATCTTCGGGCCGACGCTGATGCGGTCGCAGGAGGAGACGGTGGCTGCTATGATGAACATAAAGTTTCAGAACATCGTGGTGGAAATATTGATCGAGAACTTCAACAAGGTGAGAGATTTCTAAATTGTTTTTTGACTTGAAACAGAATCCACCTAGTTAATAATTTGAAAGCAATAGTTAAGAAAAAAAAGTATATGTTTGACTAAGACTTTTTTATTTACTATAAACCTTATATAGCACCCTTCCCAATCATTAAGACTCCCTGGTAAATAACAGTTGCGATGGAGACATGGTGACTCAATGCTACAGCTTGGTGGCATCTTGGAGTCATTATGTCTTTACTCAGATATCTCCTGATTTATAGTATGAAGATCAGCTTACTTGACTGGCATGTACTTTTGTCTTTTGCATTTTGAACTGACTAAAAGTATTGAACCTTACTGTTACATTTATACATCATGGAAACAGGAAGTTTTCGCTAATTAAGACCAACACACATGTGAAAGCATGTTCCATTATCTTTCTTGTATTGAACAGTGACTAAGAAAAATAGGCCTCAGTGCCATGTTATATTCATACCAAACTCATCTTTACTGTACTGAACTTTGGCGTTATGATGTATTTCCATTTCTGAAGAGGACAAATGTAGCTAAACCCAAGGAAATTGGGAATTATGGATTACGAAATAAAACTGCAGCATACTCTCACACAAACCGGAGTATATTTTGAGATATTGTTTCAGTTGTGTTTAGTTTACAGAAGTGCTTCTATCAGGAATCACGGAACAGGTCAAATTGACCTGTTTTAAAGTTTGTTTGTTTGTTTTTTAAATAGTTGAATTGTTTTTGCATCTACATTTTACATAGCTAATGTTAGGGTCAATTTTATATCTCCTTAGTCAAGTTGAAGGATGAAAAAGATGAAAAATGTCCAATTTCTTGCAGCTATGAACCATATTTCCCCGCCCACACACACACACGCACACACACGAACACCACCACATGCACACAAGCCCACTTTCTCTCTATTCTGTTTACTTCACTAGGAAACTACGAGAAAGCAGGTGTTCATACAACTTTTGATGGGAATCTTTTCTGTTCCCATGGCAAACTCCACCCACACTGAGTGACACTCAGCGGAAGTGGGGGAAAACATAAATACTCTCTGCATGACTCATTTGTCTTGATTGTAATCAATGGGTCAATTTGACCCTGAACAGTCGGTGTGTCTCAAGTTCAATTATAAAGATCACCCCATGGAAAAAAAAAAATCTAAATGGGTCAAATTGTGTCGATATTTTTTAAGAGTCAGTGCTCTGTTCTGGATCTTCAGATCTTTCACCAGCCTCCGGATCCCAACGTGCCTCTGCCGCAGCCGCAGAGCCGGACCGGCTCCCGCAGGAGCAGAGCCATCTGTCTGTCCAAGGGGCCCCGCAAGCCGCGCAGTCTTTACACCCCAACACTGTGCCTGGCAGACGCAGAAAGTGAGTATCAACTAGGTGATTACTTATCACCACAGGTACTCACACAGCTTGTCAGGCCAAAACCTGTCAGTGGGTTTTAATTTCCCTCAAACATATGCACAGTAATTATGTATAATTACTTAAGAAATTAATTATGTGGATCTAAAGTATTCCTTATGTTAAAATTGATCTGGCCGATCTTAAATCAAAAGTGGAGTATTAAATTGCAGTATTGCAGCAGGTTTTTTATGAGGGCCCTGTTTGCCTGCTTTCTGGTCCCTGCATAGGTGACACCTTGAGCAGCAGTCCAAGCAGCACCCCTATGGGCAGCATGGAGTCTCTGTCATCCCACTCCTCAGAGCAAAACACCTCCTCCAAAACCGCTTCCTCTGGAGCAGGAAGATGCCTCGGCAGGTCGGACCTCCGCCGGACCCCGTCGCAGCTCTCGAACGGCCCCGGGAGCGCGCTGTGCGTCAGCAGCCCCGAGTCCAGCTCCAGGGAGGAGGGAGGTCGAACAGATGGGGAGTCAGAGGACACTTTCAGCCTGTCCTCAGTCAGCACAACACCTCGACTGTCTCCCGCACCCAAAAAAGCCCCCCACTGCCGCTCTGACCTCAAGCCGGCGCTGCTGAGTCGCTCCGTTTCTCCCTCACTGAAATCACTGCCAGGATCTGACGGTAGGATAATTATCGGATGCCAGGGTTAGTGTGACAGAGCGGATCAAAAAGATGTTTACATCCACCTTACAGAGCTTTTGTCTTATCGTTTGACATTCATTTTCTGAAAAAGCTAGAATAAATAGTTTATTCTTACGGGATATTTTAATACTTCTGATAAACTCAGAAATGTAAAAGGGTTGTTTTTTTAGACAAACTTTGTTTTTAAACTGTGCATTGTAGTGTAAATGAGGTCTGTCTGGAGGAATGGCCAAAGTTATGCAATATAAAGGCAAAAAAACCCCCAAAGAACTAACTATTCTGATTTGAATAAAAAAATAATCTCTTTTTTCACAAATATATAAACATCTGGTTTAACTACACCTCTTGACATAAACTTAGCAAATTAAATTGCAGAATTGATTTCCTGAGTTATTGCTCTTGGCAGCTTTATCGTCACATTTTGTGTCTTTGAGTCAATTATAATCTCTTATTGTGTGTCTCTGACTCTCAAGGCCAGCAAAGCTGTTCTGGTTCTGTCCAAAGTTTATCCACACTGGAGACCAAAGAGAGCTTAAAGCCTGGTGATCACCCCAACCTTCCACCGAAGCAAGTGATCCGCCGCAGGATAGACGCGTCGGTGAACAATGGCTACCAGAGGCCAGGCTCAGTGTAATGAGATTTTATATATATATAGGTTCTGTCAAAAATAGCTTTACCCATGACATTTTATCTGTCTTTTATCTATTCCTGTGCGCTTAAATGATAAACTAGCTGGAACAGTTTAGTGCTTTGATTTATTGAATTGTTTTGGTTGTGTATCTAGTTTCTTGGTGATCTTCTGAGTCGGCAAGTGATTTAAAACCTTTATCTGAGTTTCAAGAGATATTCAAGAGACAAAATGATTCTTCAATTATCCAACAGAACATAAACAGTACTACCCTTATTTCTTAAATCAATATTATTACGCTGGATGCATGTATTGTTTTGTAAAAGTCTTCATAACCCTCGAACTTTTTCACATCTTATTTTTATGCAGAAGGGAGTAAATGATGAAGGGTTTTCAAACGTTTTAGCAAAAAAAAAAAAATTCACGCCAGATGAGTAAGTGTTAAAATCTTAAAAGTGCTGCTTTTACTCTGTTACCCCTAAATAACAATCTAATACAATTAACAGTCCCTCTTTTTGATTTACTCTAGCTGTTCTGTGAAGGTCTCAGTTTTGTTAGAGCATTAGTGAAGAAACAACAAAATGAAGAACAAGGAACACAGCAGATAAGTTGGAGATAAGTGGTGAAGAAGTTTAGATAAGGATTTATTTACAAAACAATATTCCAAGCTTTGAACATTTGCTAGAGGTCTGCTCAATCTGTTATTATGGCACCTCTGAAAACTAGGGCTTGAAGATATGAGCTTAATGTTTTATCATAATAGTTTGTGGTTTTCATTATCACTTCTGTACACAGAAGCCCCACAAGCACAAATACTGCTCTGAAATATCATCTGTTATCAAATAGGCTACTCCCCCACAGTTATATTAAGTAGTGGAGCTGTACAGTTAAACAGCATGCTATAATAATAGTTAATAGCTAATAATAGTTTTATAGTTTTCCAAGAACCTGTGCAGATGATAACCTGAACAGAAAAAGTAACAATTTTAAGCATACTGTCAGCTTTGAGGATTGGGAAACATCATCAATAATTCATAATTATTATGCTAAAACACACATTTTATCATGATAATACATCTATAAACAGGATTGATCAGAGAAGCAATGAAGAGGCTCATAGGAATTTGATAGGAGGTGCACAAATCCATTATTCAGATAGGAGAATCTTTTCAAACAGTAACAGGTGAGAGACATAAGTGAGAGAGGGTAACTCAACTGAGTTCAGTGGGTTTGATCATAGGGAAGTAGAAACTGAACTGAGACGAAATAGGAACTGAAGCCAAAAGGATAAACGGCCCTAAAATTAAAAGAGGAAAATTAACACAAACACACAAGAAGTGTAGCAAACATGAGGAAATGTGTAACACCTACCAGACAGTAAAATGAACAGCAAATTTAAATAGCAGTAATGAAACTAATGAGAATGGAAAAATAAAACCAAAACACTAGAGGAAAATGGGAGGAGTAATGTAAAAAGGAAAAAAAAAATCAAAATGTTTGAATGAACTATGAAACTAGACAAAACTCAACATGACTGAATCTGACTGGAAAGGAGTGAACGGAACTGAACAGAATGTGCTAACACTTGCCTAAATAAAACAGGAAGGGTATAATCTAACACACTAACAGGAATAATCTAGAGAAACTATTCAGAAAGGGGGACACATGAGTAAACTATGAAAACAGACATACCAGGAAGAGCTAATATCACTAAAACTATTTTATCCCACAACAAAACTCACAAATCAAGAGCCTAAAGAAGGAAGCCAGGAAGAGGCTGTAAAGGACGTGAGACTGGGATGAACTTTTTGGCAGGTCAACGATCATAAACATACATTACAGTGGAATGGCTTACATTAAAACAAACTGCAGACCTGAATCCAACTGATACCCTGTGGCAAGAAAATTGACATTCATTCAGATTTTAATTAAGGTTAGTAATTTTGCCCCCCACTCGATGCATCCCACACTATTCAGATTTATATATATATATATATATATGAAAATTCCCTTCTCACCCACCGCGGGTGGGTGAGATATATATATATATATATATATAATATATATATATATATATATATATATATATTATATAATATATATATATATAATATATATATATATATATATATATATATATTATATATATATATGAGTTCATATGAGAAAAATATACATACAGTATGTAAACAGTCAAAGAAATTGCACTTTTTTTGGCTCGCTATGAGAAGCCACACTACTGAAAGAGAGCACTGGAAAATAAAAAAAGAGTAGTTTACTGTCACAGATTGTCTGACCAAAGTACGCTCAGCTAAAAAAGGAGGAAAAATATGTAACTACAAAAAAAGAGAGAGTAAAAATAATATACAACCATGTCAGTTCTAAGGATATACTGGTCAGCTGCTTATACTGTTAAAAATGTCTCAGCAAAATGAAGGATTTGACTGCTAGCTTTTATGTGTTACGCTAAATTTACACTCTACTGCCGGCGAAAGGAAAATAGATCTACGTACTGTACATTCACATAAAACTGAAGGCTATATATATATATATATATATATATATATATATATATATATATATATATATATATATATATATATATATATATATATATATGAAAATTCCCTTCTCACCCACCGCGGGTGGTTCTTATCCTCTGAGCTCGGGTCCTCTACCAGAGGCCTGGGAGCTTGAGGGTTCTGCGCAGTATCTTGGCTGTGCCAAGGACTGCACATTTCTGGACTGAGATGTCTGATGTTGTTCCTGGGATCTGTTGTAGCCACTGCTCCAGTTTGGGGGTTACTGCCCCGAGGGCCCCGATGACCACAGGCACCACTGTAGTCTTCACCTTCCAGGCCCTCTCCAGTTCTTCCCTGAGGCCCTGGTATTTCTCCAGTTTCTCGTGCTCCTTTTTCCTAATGTTGCAATCACTTGGTATTGCTACATCTACCACAACGGCTTTCCTCTGGTGTTTATCCACTACGACAATGTCTGGTTGGTTCGCCATTACCATTTTGTCTGTCTGGATCTGGAAGTCCCACAGGATCTTAGCTCTGGCGTTCTCCACCACCTTTGGGGGCGTTTCCCACTTTGATCTCGGGGTTTCCAGTCCATATTCTGCACAGATGTTTCTGTACACTATGCCTGCCACTTGGTTATGTCGCTCCATGTACGCTTTCCCTGCCAGTATCTTGCACCCTGCTGTGATGTGCTGGACTGTCTCAGGGGCCTCCTTGCACAACCTACACCTTGGGTCTTGTCTGGTGTGGTAGATCTGGGCCTCTATTGCTCTGGTGTTTAGGGCCTGTTCCTGGGCGGCCAGGATGAGGGCCTCTGTGCTGTCCTTGAGTCCAGCTTTTTCCAGCCATTGATAGGATTTACTGATATCAGCCACTTGGGTTATTTGCTGGTGGTACATCCCATGTAGGGGCTTGTCCTCCCATGATGGTATCTCTGGCACCTCAACCTCCGTTCCCTGTTGTCTGAGACATTCACTGAGCACATTGTCTGTTGAGGCTTTGTCCCTGATGTATTTATGGATCTTAGTTGTTTCGTCCTGGACAGTGGTTCTCACACTCACTAGTCCTCTGCCTCCGTCCTTGCGGCTCGTGTACAGTCTCAGGGTGCTGGATTTGGGATGGAACCCTCCATGCATGGTTAGTAGCTTTCTAGTCTTAATATCTGTGGCTTTTATCTCCTCCTTTGGCCAGCTAATTATTCCAGCAGGGTATCTGATTACTGGCAGGGCATAGCTGTTTATCGCACGGATTTTGTTCTTGCCATTGAGCTGGCTTCTCAGGACTTGCCTTATTCGTTGGAGGTATTTAGCTGTGGCTCCTTTCCTTGTGGCCTCATCGAGGTTGCCATTTGCTTGTGGTATACCTAGGTACTTGTAACTGTCCTCTATGTCTGCTATTGTTCCTTGTGGGAGTGAGACTCCTTCTGTGCGGATCACCTTCCCCCTCTTTGTGATCAGCCGACCACACTTCTCTAGTCCGAATGACATCCCAATGTCAGTGCTGTAGATCCTGGTGGTGTGGATCAGTGAGTCGATGTCTCGCTCACTCTTGGCATACAGCTTGATGTCATCCATGTAGAGGAGGTGACTGATGTTGGCCCCATTTTTGAGTCGGTATCCGTAGCCAGTCTTGTTGATAATTTGGCTGAGGGGGTTCAGGCCTATGCAGAACAGTAGCGGGGACAGAGCATCTCCTTGGTATATGCCACATTTGATGGACACTTGTGCAAGTGGTTTGCAGTTGTCTTCAAGGGTGGTTTTCCACAGCCTCATCGAGTTTTATATATATATATATATAATATATATATATATATATATATATATATATATATATATATATATATATATATATATATATATATATATAAAATCTTTAAATCGTATGACTGGAGCACAATAGCTTAGCAGCAATTCTTTCCGCTCTCTTTCCTTCCTCCCTCTCCCCCTCTGAGTTGTCTGCCTCCTCCCTCCTCGGTTTACGAGCATTGAGAGGTTTCTAAAATCAAATGAGTGCATGTTTGGAGATTTATGTCTTCTGTGCTCTGGTGGGAGGGCTGCCTTTAATTGCATTCTGCCTGCTCTAGGGTTGATGTGACCCAGCAGCAGTCTGTGCTCGTTCTCCTGGGACAAACAGATTGTTTGACTTGTCGTGTCTGAGGAGCCAGTCACACGGTCTCGAAAGTAGTCTTCCCCTGTCCAGCACCCACCCAGCCTGCCCCTTAAGCTCTGCAGATGACCTTGACTCCTACGATTGGCGTGCTCTTGGCTCATGTGCGTCTGTGTTGCATGTTTCACCTCGATTCTTCGCCATGACGAAGCTCAGTCTGCCTAGAGGAAGGAAGCCTCCCCTTATATGTAGTTCTTGCCTTTTGAATTGCTCTAAACTATGCGAAATGCTGCCAAAACCAACTGAACAGATGTGATTTGGTCAAAAACAAAAATTGTCAATCTATCTTTTACAGTTGTATCTTATTTCTATTCCTTTTTAGGGTTGCTGCCAGAGCGCTGCTTTTTGAAAATCCCTCCTCTTCACAATCTTCCCTTATAGGAAGGTAAAACATAACACAATCTACAACATGTAGACCTTATTATTAACTCTGATACTTGTTCAGATTCACTGCAATATTATCTGTTTTTTTTCTCGACTGTATAGAGATGCCAAGGCCATGTATTCCTGTGAGGCAGAGCACAGCAATGAGCTCAGCTTTCCTCAGGGGGCGCACTTCTCAAATGGTATGAAAACAGAAACTTCTTTATGTCAAAAAGTGACACTCACACACAGATACATTTCAAGCATTTATTTCTGCTTATATTGATGGCTGTATGTCAACTTTATTTAACAGCAGTTTTAAAACAACAAAACTGACCAAAGTGCTGAACAGACATCACATAAAAACCATCAACATATTTGGTTGATGTAAGCCAACACATAAAAGATATTATAAAAATAAAAGTAGAAAACTTCACCAAACAAAAAATATATATATAATTTTTAATACAGAAATGTTTAAAAATCAGCAATTTTGGAGAAAATTGCTGACGATGCTGATCACTAGTAAGCTACAAAAGGACATTCCTAAAGTTGCTGGGAATTCACAGATTAGCATTTGCAAGCACAGCCAATTAAAGTTAAGTGGGACAAAAACACGATTGTAAAAAGTACACAGGCAATAGGCAGATTCAGAAAGCATGGACCGTTCCTTTGCATTCCTTTTGTTAAGCCACTCCTACACCAAATATGACTGTAGGAGTTGATAAGGAGAAAGACGATTGGACTACACTGTAAAACTCCAAAATGTTACAAAGTATTTATTATGTCTAGTTTCTGATGCAAATATCTTAGTTGAAACAAGACAAAACTAACTAATTAGTAACTTTTCAGCAAGATATAGGAGATGTAAGTCATTATTTTAAGTGTACTAGAATATTTCTGCTAGAAACGTGACGAAAATACTTTGTAACATTGTATTATTTTGCAATGTATTGTTTGATGGTATAAAGTCCACCATAAAAAGTTTTGCATCTCATCCAAAAATAAAGCTCCCTGTCCATGAGAAGAGTGCACTGCAAAAACACAAAATAGCCATTTTTGTCTAGTTCTAAGTGCAAATATCTTTGTGCATTTTAAATACGACATAACTAACTTGCAACTTTTTAATTCAATGCTTCTTGAGTATTGGTTAAAAAGGCATTTTTTTTCACTTATAACATGGGAAATTTCTTGTTGTAATTGCAAAAATCTGCCACAATATTAAGAAATAACTTACTTAAAGCAAGTTATATATTGCTGCAAAGTTTCTTCTGAGATAGGTTCAAATGTTTGAGGATATTCAAACACTTGAATTAAATTAAATTATTAGGAACTAGACAAAAAAAATAACTTGGTAAGATTTTATGGGTTTATTTGCTGTGTTTTATGTTTCATAATATGACATACTTGAGATCCAGTCTGAGATTTCCACAGTTGAAGATCATTTGGCAAGACATGCTGTAAGCTGCAATCGTCTAAATAAATCAAAACTTTTGGTTGCCAGTATGCCAGTACATATCCCAGTGTACTGGCATACTGAGACGTGCCTGTATATTAGGTAGAAGTTCAAAGAGGTTTGTTTCATATAACAACAACCCCACAACCCACTGTGTATGCTGAAAAACTTAACAGCCATGTTATTTGTATTATTGCTTCATGTTTTTCCCAATAAAGAGATGGCTTGACCCATAAGTAGAGCAGTCAGGTCACTGTAACCTGGTGATTGGTTCTGGTGCCTGTTCCCTGTTAACACAGCCAGCGGAGTCTGCAGCCAAAGGCAAAAAGCGTCAACAAATGCTCCCCATCACTTACAAGCAAGCTTAATGCTTTTAATTGCTCTCCACAGTAATTACCTTCCTGGTGCTGATGATTTGATGCTTTGAGTTTAAATTGTAAACTACAGCCCAACAGCTGACTGAAAATAGCAGACTGACCCCAAATTTTCACAGTGCTTTTCACTACATTTTGTTGTAAAACTACTACAACCAAAATACAATAACCTGTTCTTTTTCTGAAACTTAAAAGTGTTTTTCTCTCTCTATGTCTCTCTCTCTCTCTTTTTCTCTCCTTTAGTATACCCCTCCGTCGAACCAGGCTGGCTCCAAGCAACATACGAGGGCAAAACAGGTTTAATCCCAAAGAATTATGTTGTTTACCTGTAAAAGAAGCTAACGCTGCCATATTTTTATTATAGCAATGGAAAAAGAACTCTGTGCTCACTGTTAAGTTCCCAATATCCAGCTCCCTGACAGAGAATTATATACACTCATCATTTGGCATAAATCTCTTATTAATTTTGGATTTGGAGTGACATATTTGAATCATTTTTTTGGGGGGGTTTCCAGAGTGAAATGGTAATGCAATATAGGGAGAATTAAGTCGTGTTTGGACAGGTTAAGAAAAAATACATTTTACCTCTGCCTTCAAACTTATAAATCAAAGCTTAGAGTGCCAAAGCACTAGTATCTCCATAATTGCTACCTGTAAAATTCAAGGCAACAGTAAAATACCTTTTTACTTAGATTGTCCCAGATTCCTCAATATTCATCAAAAGTTTGTTGTATCTTTCTGGTAAAAATGTACTTAAATTCACCTCTAATATTTAATTTGAACTATTTTATTGTTCTAATGATAATGTTTTAGATGTGTATTTGTTCATGACTTTAACACCTGATGTTATTCTTTAAGTTTACTTTGATTAAAAACTAAAAATTATTAAGACATTCATGCAGATGTGGCTAATCTTTTAACTATTGTTTGCATTTTTAGCAATTATTATTGTCAAGGCTTTCGCAATGACCAATTCCACACCTCCCTTTATGAAACTTTGAGAATGCAGGATGCAATTAAGCTGAATTGCTCCACAGAGCAAGTCAGATGTAAATATAATACAAAATGACAGCACTGATCTCTAGTATTAGCCTACAGAACCACAGAACAATCAATTTCCCTTTTAGTTATTTTGTTCTCAAAAATGTATCCAATATGAACCCATTTCACCACACTTCATGTCGCAAACATTTTGATGGATCAAGCTGTGATTTCAAATAAAACAATCTATTCTGTTAGAATATAGTAGAGAAAGCAATAACGGTTTTGCACCTTAATATCTCTGGACTATTGTTTACCCACTGAAACTGTTCCTGGCTGTTGCCTCGTCAGTTAAATGCTACTGTACAACACCTGCTCCTGTTTTCATTTTTCTTTAAAATTATATTAAATATTTACGTCTTGTAACTGTTTGTTACAGAATATTGGCACATCAAATATACGTTGTATGTAAAAGTTACTTCATTAAATGTATATTGTGTGGTCAGTGTACACTGGTGTACCAGTAATGACAACTACGCAAGTATGACATTGTTATATGTGAAAGAAGACATTTAATATTTACTCTTGTCAACATCCTCACACTAAAAATCTAAAATTGTCCACAGAGTTAAATTTAGTGATACAGTTTCAGAAAAAAAGAAACACAATCATTTTTGCTCCTTGCGTATTACAAACTTAAAAAAAACAAACAAAAAGAAAAGAACGCCAAAGTTAAACTTTCTCTGGTTTCCCAAAATGTATTTGGGGGAATATTTGACATTTAGCTCCTGCCAGGATCAGGCTGTTCTTTTCCATTTACACTTCGAAGAATGCGAGGTGGCCTTGAACACTTGATGCTGGACTACTACTCCCTTACAGTAAATGAATTTGCCAGGGCATGTCACAGAAATGATAGTCATTTCCTGAATATGTCAAAATTGGCACGCTTTTTCACACAGTTATTAGGATTTATTGCAAACATTTAATTTATCCTAAAGAAATAGGTCAGAAAATACAGAGTGAATGATCAAATCATCTGTCTAGATACATGTGGTTTATATTTCACTGAGGGATAAACAAGTAGAGTATTGCAAGTATCACAAGTTTCTTCTGCTTTTTGCCTTTTTGTCACTCGTAAAAGTTGGATGTCAGATAAAGATAATGGTAAATAAAAACAACCTTGGGTGAAAATCAGTCCCTTACCAACTGGTTATGTAAGTTGTAAAAAGACCGCCATCAAGCATCAGGTAATTCTTTTTTATTGCTTTGGAGCATTATGACCCTCTTCTTTGCAGAATTGTCTTAGTCTGAATACATTCGGTGTTTTCTGCAGATTATTTGTGGGGTTTTTTAATCAAGCTAAACAACCAAATCCTAAGGCAGAGAGTAGAGTGAAACCTTTAGCTCCTGATCATCACACTATCACCACCATGTTTGGCCTGTGGGGGCATTGCCTGTTTTCACATAGGAGTATATAAGACTTTATCTTTTTCCCCTTAAAACTAATGAAATTGTTATAAAATACAGCTTTTTAATGTTTTTCCAGGTTGATCTGAAATTACATTAATATTAGTTTGATAATCTGAAGCTTTTACGTCTGGCAAATAAAGCAAAAAGAGAGGAAATCTATGAGGAGAAAATCCATTTTCATTACAGTAATATTTAAACTGAGATCTACATGTTGGATAGATAACCTAAACCTGTTCAACCACCAAAATCTAAATGCTGTGTTAACTTGGGATTATGTATCAAGGTTAGTTACATTTTTAATGTGAAAAGATTTGATGAAACATTTTTGACTAATGTTACTTTGTCATGAACTTCACTGGCTTGAATAAACTATAAATATTCATCATTCTTTAAGTGATAAGTATGATTAATTGTGCTCTGTTCTGAAAATAAAAATGGTTGTTATTTGTGCACATATTCAAGTTGTTTTATTTTTATTTTTGTGTGCAAATATTTGACAATAGGTAAGAAGATATCTCTCCAGTTTTCTCTGCCTGCCCAATTTGAATTTGCATGTCAATAAGCTACGCAGTTGTTCTGCACAATGAATGTAAGATTTTGTTCAATTTTTTGCAGTTCAAAAATTTCAGATGATTCTTTTATTGATCTAGCGTGTTGCTGCATTGGAAAATATTTGACATACAAGAATAAAGATTGATGCTTTACAGGACCTAACACAATTATTGTCACCTTGGTGAAGATGTGTAAAAATCTTTAAAACTTATTTAGTGTAGCACTAAGATCTCACACAGATTTGTTTGGAGGGGTGAAATCTATTATTTAATTTGAGCACATTTTTTAAATTAATTTTAAAAAATCTTAATATCATTTGAATGCATTAAATGATGTATTTTGCATCATTTTTAAAATGATGTAGATTTAAAATATGTAATTTTAATTTTCTGGGTTTTAAATATAAATGACAAATAGGTCTATTTTTTTTATGGTTGGTCTCCAAAATTTGAAAGACAAGAGAACAGACAAAGTAAGGCAAATGCTTGTTGATCAAGATATTGCGTAAAGAAAATAGCAAGATGACTGAACTTCTGACTAGTTAGTCAGAAAACTAACTAAAAATAAAAAAAATAACTTTACCAAATAAATATAACAAAACTTGTAGAGACTGTATTATGTTTATGATACAGTCCCTTGCAAAAATGTTTACACCCTTTTCAGATTTCATCATGTAACCTTTAATATATTTTATTGTGATTTCATGTCATAGACCAACACAAAGTGGCATCTAACAGTGAATGGAAAGTAGATAGTTTGTGTTTAAGTTCATTCCATTATCAATACAAATATTCTGTTATTCAGAAAACATAGAGACTATTGGACATTCAATTCATTTTAACCAATATTCACCGAATAAGCTGAACAGAGAATCCATATCATTCCATCATATACCAAGCAGACAAATCCATCCACTGTGACAAAAACCACTGACTGTGGGACCAATATGTAAAAACAATCAAATTAAATAATGGCTCTTACATTACAAACGATGCATCTGCTCTAGCCTGAATTCTGCTTGCTCACTTATCCTTAGTCAAATGTTTCAAGGATCATTTCTGCTGACTCTATTGTCACATTTACCTCAAACAGATGATTTCTCCTGGGAATTTTGATGTTGATCTGGAAGCTGAATCCGTGTTCTGCTGCTACACTAGAGACTGGAATTACAAGCCACTTCTTTCAGTGTTCTGAAATTAGGGAACATTTCTCCAACTGAAGTGATCAGAGGTTGACAAACCCTCTGAAATAGGAGAGTGAGCATGATAAATTTTTGGAAACACTTAAAAAAATAAGAAATATGTGGGCCTACATGACAGGACACCACAGAAAAATATGTAATGGGTATGCTGGGCCAATCGGTGGCGCTGTAATATTACCAGAGAATGACACAAAAAACATCAAACCAGCCTTGTTTATTTGTGAAATTGATGGGCATGCAAGTCATAAAGAGAAATAGAGCTTCAACGTCATCAAAAAGCATAGTTTGTGGTCTCACAAGACTCTGAATCCATGTGAACGCACTGCCTAAAATAAAAAAATCTTTTGCAGATACACTGAAAATTGTCTCTGTGTAGACAAGGCCTTAATTAGCTGTACTTTGCTCGTAAACACATCTACTACTACTACACGAATTGGTCAGGAGTGTGAATTGCAATCTGACAAAATGACGGATGGCCCTCAGGTTTTTCTGTCACTGTTTCGAATAATAATAAAAAAAGCAAAAATGGAAAACATTTGGCTAAAGTGACCCCTACTTTAGTTATTGATCTGCAGATATTATTTTATCTCAACTACTATCTAAACTTAAAAATTCTGCACTGTTTTATGTTGGTCTGTTACAGAAAACCCAAATAAAATACATTCGTTTGTTTTTGTAACATGATTAAAAACAGAAAATTAAACCATCAAGGATATTCATGCTTTCGTAGGCATTTACATTCTTGTCAATCCATTTTTTTTCTTTTTGTCATTTTGCATTATATCAAGCCATTTATCATAGTTTACACATTTGACTACAGCAGAATGCAGGGTCTGAAGAATTAAGTATTATGCAGCAGTAATCCAGTCAAAGGCCACCACCATACAGTCATGATGTTTGCATTACTACTTTGTGTGGAATAACAGGGGTTTCACCATCCCAGCCAGCACCTTGGGAAGTTGAGAGGCGATGACTTCTGACATCATCTCTGGAAACTCGACTTTCATGCAGTCGGCCTGGATGAAGGTGCTCAGACAGAACAGGTTGACCTTCTTCACTATCTGTCAGAGAGGAGACATTTCTTTTCATTTTTGGTGCTCAAGATGTACGCACACATTGGAGGTGTACTTTCTGAAAGAGCCTTACCTCATGCATGGCGTCCATCAGTTTGGTAAGGTGGTAGAACCGCTGGGAGCTGGCCACCATGCCCTTCTCCTTCATGTGAATGGCTCTGGACAGCTCTCGTATGTAGTTTTGTCTCATTTCCTCAAATGCGGCCTGACTTTTCAGACCTTCAAGTGGCACTGAGCGCGTATGAGATAAGCAAGAAGTCAAATTAAATGCAAATTGTAAATTGCAACCATCTATTGTAAAAGATGCTTCAGGAAAAGGAAATATATGTGCTTGAATAACATGTTTTTGTTGGATAAGAAAAAATAACTTGACAATAGTTGCTACATTAATCTATTCAAGGTCTAATCTTGTTAAACATTCCTGTTTTTGTTCAGCTCTCCAGTAGTTGGTCTTCAAAGCTTCACATTTCTGAAATTGCAACATTGTGTAGTGTTTTAAGGGTCCCACCTGTGGTGAGTAATATTATGGCTTTCATGCAGAGGAATTCCTCACGGGTCACTTGTAGGTTGGCAAACTCCTGAGGAATGAACTGGATCGCCAGACAGAGGTCATAAATTGGGGATCTCCTCATTTGCTCCCTAAAAATTAAAGAAAAAAATAAATATAGTTTAAAGTGTCTTTTTCAAAATTGCATTGATTCTTTTTTCTCTGTTTGAACATCTTGGCTAAATACTATTCATAAAATCTGTAAAGCTTTTCAGCTTTTGGCAAGTTACATACACTAGCTTTTATGCGTCTTTATGCTGTTTAAAATTCTTTGTAAATCAGTCAAACTGGGTATGGGTAGAATGAAGACAAAATCTTCTCAGAGATTGCTGCTTTGTTTTTGATCTGGATCTCAATTAGACCAATTTTCCATAGTCCCTCTTAACCAATTTCAAATGTTTTCCTGCTTTTGCAAGGTTTTCTTCCAGAACTGCATTGTTTTTAACCTCTGTTGATCTTTCCAATTACTCTGGGCAGATTTTTTGTCCTTACTGAAGAAAAGCATACGTTCACCATGATGATGCCACCACTATGTATCACCATGGCTATAGTGAGTTTTGGGTGATGTGCTCTGTAGATATTCTGCCCCACATATTGACTTTTTAAAGGCCAAAAGGTTGAATTTCTATCTTGTCAGTTGGTTTGTTGTCTTCTACGCTGACAAACGTCAAACAGGATGTCTGGTGACTTTCTTTTAATTACTGGCTTTCTTCTGGATTTTCTACCATGAAAGTCTGATTTTTTGAATGCTTGACTAATACATTTCCTATCCAGTTTCTCTCCACTGAGTAGAGGATCTCTAGCCTAGTGAAAAACATTCTATGCTTCTTCTGTGCTTTGCTTCATACAAAGGATTTGGCTCTTTGGCTATTGAGAAGCAATTGTTTGCTCGAGACTCAGTTGAGATTTTATATGACACCCAATTGCTATCATTTGGCCATGATGTAATGGGCCAGTTTAGCGCTATATTGGAAATGAGCTGTGTCATAAACGACCATGCCCTACTGCAAGGAGAGAAGTTTAGAGACGAATAAGATGGCTGTTAATGTTAATTCAATATTTGGGAGTGTGGCCAACACAGACCAAATGACTCCATTTACTTCCTCTATTGCCAAACTGCAACCGTAGACAGACTAGTATTCTAAAACAGAACAGAAAAATGGCTTCATCGTTCACAACTCCTCTTTTTGTTCACTGTTAGGCCTGGTTAAAATTCCTCCTGAGAAATCCAGCTCAATGGGAGAAAATCCAGATGTAAAACTGAAGGTAGATGGGAATCAACTGGAATTGGGTAGGAAGACAATGGCCTGGCTAATGGATTTCTGCAGATCCTCCATAGTCACTATCTCCCTCTTAGCTGCAGCTCTGATACCCTAAATAGCCATCTGGGTTTTTTTTTTATGTTTCTTCATCTTCCTGGGCCTTTTTTTTAATAATGTACATTGACAAACCTTTGAGACTTTTACAGAAAAGCAATATTTACACTGCAAAGAAATTATAAATTGGTGGATTTACTTACTAGCTGACTTCTGAAGGCACATAGTTTCACTGCAGTTTGTTCACATAAAATCAAAAATGTCAGACTTTTTCATGGCTCTGAGATATTTACTTACTGGCTAAGAATCAGATCAGGCGCAAAGTATAAGTATTCGCTGGTGACATTTTGAAAAGAGCGCCACCCAAGAGAGAACACCATCAGGTTCATCCATGAGTACTGAATTAGAGTCATCTGATCATTGATGTGAAGATTCCGAAAACCTTAGAAAGACAGTGGAACACAGAGTCAAAAAACATTAAAATACCTAATTTTGACAATTTTTCTCCTACCTCGTAATTTGATGCAATGTGATTCATAAGTGAATCATCACTGCAGGGCATTGGTTTTCATGTTTTGTTGTTCTCTCTGAGATAAGAGTTGAACACTTCTTGTGACTAATGTGAATCACTAAAGGTTGAGACCTTTAGCAAGGCCTCTCAGAGTGATCCCTATGACAACAAAAGTGGCAACCCTGACATGCAGAGAGCTGTTACCTGGCAGGGACTTGGACCACTTGACAATCCACAGCAGCTGTTTCTCACACAGCCTGTTGAGACTATTGAGCAGAAGATGGGGAACTTCAGGTTGTGAGTTGTCGTAACCAGAGTACACAATCTCAGGCTCGATATTTTCCAGGATGTTAATTATTTGTTGGGAAAGCTGAAGCTCATGGATGCTTGGTACACAAGACATGGAGGTCAAGGCCTGGCCATCTCCGGACATGGCCAAATGGGACTGGAACATCAGGGACGGGGCCAAGCCTAAGGCCTTCAAGGCTCCAAAGCGCTTCAGTTTCCTGCCTGTGACACAAATATAAAGCTTTATCAAATCTAATAAGGAATTACCCCAAGTAAAAATCACACAAATGAATTTGTAAAATACTTGTATATATATATATATATATATATATATATATATATATATATATATATATATATATATATATATATATATATATATATATATATATATATATATATATATATATATCTCCAGTACAATATTAGAAAAATTATGCAGTGGTGATATTATTGCGATAATGATATTAGTTGGCGTGAATCTGTCAAGTACTGCTGCAGGGAGATTCGGTCCAGCAGGCTGAACATTGGATCAGAATACAAAGTTTAAACTAATGACTCTTGGAGTATGTTGTATTAGAAAAAGTACAATATTTCAAGGATTTGAAATGTACTTTTGCGAGACTCGTGATAATAATACTGTGAATACTAATATTGAGATGACTATACTTTTGACATAATGTACCATGCCTACGGAGAAGAGCGATGGTGGTTACATTATGATCTGGGGCTAATATTTGTCACATGAAACCAGGTCGTCTAGAAAATGAAGAGTGATTCAGTTTTCAAGATCATCGTCATCAGAAATGCATCGAAATCACCAAAATAATGGCTTCATCTTAAGACATTATGTTTTGGACCTACATCTGGAGAAGTATTGGTAGGGAACCCAAAGATGACCTTGGACAAGAGAGTTCGAGAACTTTGCCAGGTCAAGATGTGGAAGATGGAGTCCCAAAGACTAAACTTTGAAAATGAACCAAAAAATTGTCAAAGTTTCAAAATAATTGATCTTACTCTCAAATTTTTTAAGACTCAAAATCTTGGGATTTTATCAGGGGTGTGTACACTTCTGAGTTCTTATTTAGGTATTGACATGAACTTAAAGCTTACAATAGATTTGGTCTTTTATGAAGAATCAACAAAAGATTGAGACATGGTGCTTGCTTCTCAAAGAAATGACAAATGTGGAGGTGTGGTTGCGGTTTGGTAACAAAAACAATTAAATCCTACCTCCAAGCATCATTCCTGCTTGATAACACTTTCTGAGACGACATGCAGGGCAATTCTTTCTCCGAATTTTGTCCACAATGCAATCATTTCGCCCAGCGCAGAGATAGCTGTGATGGCCTGTTGAGGGGAATGGGCACAGACAGACAGTACAACCAATTTTAACAGTGCTTGGTTTCTAAATATATATGGGGATCCATGGGTGGTAAATGATGAACAGGCTCTTGACTAACCACTCCAAACTCAGGCAGCATTCTAAAAGACCTAAAGAGGTAAATTAGATAGAGGCAAGGCTGTGAGAACAGAGTGACATGGCCATGGTGAGACATAGTGGCTCTCACTATATCTTGCACTGTGAGATAACAAAAAAAGTCCAAGATGAAGAACATGGTGTACACTGTTTGAAGTGATACTGTTTCTAATAACCTTTAACAACTACCGTAGAAGATTGCAAAGTGTTTGTGAATGACTGGGTTTTTCTGTTTGAATCAAAGTCTTAGTTTCAAGTTGTTTAGACTGCAAGTTAATCAAATAAATAAACGTATTACTGTGTGTAATTAAACAACCTGGGTAGCATAAAAGGATTATGGCTCAAAGACCATTAGAGGTTAAAAACCATCTAACAGGCCCCAAGTAAAGATATGTTGGAACATTGTTACAAAAATTCTCTTTGAAAACTTTTACTGTTGTAGCATTTCAAATTTTAAATCTTCTCAGATATGGAACATGATGAAGGCTCTTAAAGCATTTATCACTTACCAAAAGATGCTTGGTTTACGCCGTCTGAATAGCAGTTGGGTAGCTTAAACCAAACATTGGATCAATGACAGTGAACCAGTTGCTTTTAGAAAACACTGAAGGTAGCATCATCATGGGGTGAATCGACACCTTGAATTCTTACTACAAGAAGTGGTAAGTGAAACAAAATGCTGTGTAATATTTAACAGTCTGCAGTTTGTGTTTTTGACTTTAGTTCACATTGGAGAACAATACAAGCATAAGCTAGTTTTAGCTAGTTAGCATACCCATCTATCTAGTTAGCATAAGCTACAGCCAACTATACAGTTAACACTCAAACATTCACCCTGACTAAATATTATACTATTCCCTTATTGATAATTACAAGACTTATTAGACAATGTGACATTCTTGTTTGAATGTTTCTGATTCAGAACATTTTTAAAGACAAATTAAGCTAAAACAGAAAATCATTCATTGTAACCCAAATATTTACCTGGTCAGTAATTTATTCTAACTGTTTATCAACATGACATTTGTGACTTTATCCCATTTTTGGGTTGAAAAGCAAACGCATGGCTCAAAACCATAACTAAAACATTTGTGTCGAAGCAACCCAGAGGAAGATTGTTTAACTGATTTAGAGTTGGGTTAGTGGAACAATCCAAATTACTTTGTTGTTTTTTATGTGTGGCTACTTAATCAAGTTGGTACTAAGTTAACATTACATAAATTTATTAAAAACTAATTGAAAAATAAATAATTGCTATTTTTTCTAAATATAGATGTGAATAAATTAAATTGGTTCACTTATCTAAAGTTTTTAGGCTATATGTAGTAACTTTATTTTATATCCGTCCTTGTTATGAATTTCAGCCTGGAACAACTGGGCATTTATGTTTGTGGTATATGTTCACATAGCCTGATCAATGTGTACAACTTATGACAATAAAGAGAATTAGATAACACTCTCAAAGAAATAATTTAGACATTTCTCACAAAGTAAAATGAATTGATGATCTTTTAATGAGATTATTTTAGATTGTGTCATGTGCTTGGTACCATTCCAAGAGTCCTATATAGCCAAAGCAGTTTCACTTGCTAAATATTTGAATATAAAGTAGTCTTCAAAGATAGTAGTGTTACCAAATGACACCACTATCATTTTGTAGCTATGATTGAAAATAGGTAAAGAAATCTAAGAAGTAATGGTGGGAAAAACAACAATTTGTATTTGAGATTATAGTAAACTACGTTTTAGATATGTTAGGAATAGCAGTAACTAGCAGATTACTTCCTGGTTGATTTTAATTTAAAAAACATTCACATAATGTTTTTTAATGAGTTACTTGAAAATTCACAGAAATACCATTTAATCACAGTATTACATAAAAATGTATAGATCATTTTGTAGTTATTCAATGTTAGTGACTACCAAAAGCCTTTGGTTTTCAAACACTCAAAGGACACTTTCTGAATTAAGACAACATTCTGAAGCACTTAAACTGTTCATCATTTTACAGCCCATCATTTTCCCTTTCAGGAGAATCCCAATACAAACATGTAAAAGTGATGTCTGGAGGGATCAAAATTTTAGAGAATGGAAACCAAAATAAAAGTAAAGTAACACAAACTTAAATCATGCATTTAAACAGATCTGGCAGCCAGGCATTTGGATTCGTTGCTCACCTTCCACTGCCCTTTTGAAAAATACTTTACAACTCCCACACGTTAGGACTCCATAGTGGCAGCCAGATGCTTCATCACCACAGATAACACACATTCTCTGAGGATGCATCCTAGAAAATAGACCAAATAAAATTTTTGACAGAAAGTTAAATATATCAAGGGCTAAAACTGTTCCAAGTAAGGAGCAAAATGTATGCATGTGACCATTTCAAAAAATGATTTTCAATGTATACAATTTATTAAAAACTATTTAAATGACTAGAAAATGTAATAAAGTCTGAAAATCATTGAGCATTTTTATTCATTGTTAAAAGTACATGTAACTATTTAAGTATTTATTTCTTCATTCTTCCTGTCTTATCCTGCAAAGTCAGTAGGTGGAGCAAATATGAGTAAGATGATTTGCCGGCAAGTTGCTGGGCAAATTAACCAATCAGATGTTAGTCTTTTTTTTTTAAACTAATGACAGTTTATTTGTTCAAGTTAAGTAGAAATTATATAGAATAAAATAAATTAATTTAATATTTAAATTGTTACTATTGATATTTTATACATCAACACGTTTAAAAATATTGATCATACGTATTTAATGTATTCAATATATCGTTAACTGTAAATGAAACAGATACATGAATTGATAGTAGCATTTTTCTAATTCTTTATTAAAAAAAACATTTGCAAATATTTAAACATGAAACGAAATCAATATGTTCATGTTTTTCTAGAAGTACATATAAATATTTGGTATTAATTTTATTTAATTAAGTTGAATCACCATCGACTTGTCTGTCGGTATTTTGTATCAAAGTCAGTGGGCGGGACTAATATTCTTTACGTTAAGATGATTGGACGATAGAGAGCAAGCTTACCAATCAAATGTTAGGATATGTTTGATAAGTAATTCTAAATCAGCACAGAAACAGAAAATAAATGAATGAATACAGAAAACAAAATACATTGGATTCCATATAGATGAATCTATCAAAAGCATATTTTAAGTTTTTCTTAACTTATGTATAAAACATATTTGAAAAGAATAATTTCTTGATTGTATTTTTGACTCCAGATATGAAATAATTTTTATTTTGAATAATAATATAGTGAAATAAAGAAAAAGTGTCAAAGTTGGGGATATTCTTCCCTTTTCAGTATTCGTCACACAAAACTATTTATCACTGCATGTAAAAACAAACAAAAGAAACCGTAACACTACATTAGAGAATGTTTTACCCTGGAAAGGTGGAGAAAGGTGAAGGGTTCCTCTGGGTCTGGATGTGGTTCTGAATCCCTTCGTAGCTGCTGGCTGGAAAGGCGTCCGTCTCGGTCATGGTGTGGAGCCAGTACGGAGGCTCAGAAGTAGGGGTTTGGATCTGCCAGCGAGAGGCGGTGTGAGGCGCGGGGGAATGGGCGGACAGAGCACACCTGGAGTCGGTCCTTCCGGAGTTCCCCAGCTGCTCTGGCTTGGTCAGCTCTATGAGGAAGTTTGGAGAGCCCTCCATCCGTGGCCGGGAGATTGCTTCCAGCCCCAGGTGTTGCTTGCTGTCGGTTGCGCAGCAGGTGTCGAGAGTACGGATCTCAGGTGATGTGGCAAACTTCGGACAGGGGGTGTCCATAATCACAGCGGGTTCCTTTTCGTCTTTAATGAACTTATAAGCCCCAGGTGTAGAGGACAGGCTTAGATTTGCGGCACTTTCCGACAGAGATGCGCTGGACCTCTGAAGTTTGACAAGTTCTTCCCAGGAAACACTGCCAGACTTTAAATAGTCACTGTTGCTGTCATAAGACTGTTTTGCAGAAACTGACGCGTCAATAGAATTGCAGTCCTTATAAACCGAGCAGTCCCCACTCGAATTTAAGCCATGAATTAAAGGGTCTAGGCTTCCCAAATTACGCGCGACCACTTTGACAGACCTGCTGTGTCCAGCATCAATCAAGTCGCTTACTTTCGAATCAGTTGAATCGGCGATCGACGTGTTGCTGATGGCACTCATCTTTCCGTGCATTTTGTTTTCCATGAGTTTTCCTTTTTTCCCTCTGAAGCTCGAAGACGCGTATTGAGTGCGCCCGCAGGCTGGATGTTGCGGCGTGATAAGAAGCAACTCAGAGACCTTCCTGTAATCCTCCTCCCTGCCTTTCACATGAACCAAAGGCTCTCTAATGCTTTATACGTTTCTTCCACTTGTTTGTAAGATTAAAAAAAATACAAACGTGCACTGGTGTACTGGAAATTAGATCGCGTTTATATTCTGTTCACAAAAATGAAGCACAATAGATTGACAAAAACAACATATCCTTCTTGATGTTGGTGTCATTTCTAATATTTCCTATAGTGATCCAGTTGTCCACAGGACTTACCAAATTGGGACAAAAGATCCAAAGGCTTGTTGCACACAGTACGGTCCTCGTACCTTAACAGCAGAGCTAAAAAGTGGCATTTCTTTCAGGAGACTTTCAATGTCAAGGGCCATTAGTCTCCGCCCTACAGATCAGGGAAAAGTGTAACAGAATGCAGCACAGAGGTGCTACATGATTATAAACAAAAACAGTCACAGTGTCTGGGTGAGAGAAGAAGAAAAAGAAAAAACAAGGATAATGTTTAAACAGATCATCCTACCATTTTTAGAGGAGGGATAATTTTCCAACTTAAAGAATTTCTATGTCAAGAAATATTCACCAGTTCAAATTTATGATGTATTTGCAGTCATGCTCACTGGCTCAAAAATGATCCACACAGGCTCCAACATAAATAAGCATCTCAAAGTATCATTTGGCTAAATTTCCTTTTACAAGTTGCAGAGAGAGTTCATATTTTATTTAGGATTAAGGTGAAGGCAATTCCAAAAGGTTTACTTTCAGTCTGATTTATCTGTTTAGACCTCAGTTTTTACTAGCAAGGAGCAGACCACATGAATGTAAAGACTTAATAAAAGACGGAGTCTGATGGATGGACGAATGAGGATATGAGTCATATGGGAGCTAAATGAATGGAGCCTTGGGTGAACACTCAGTGTGGGAGTCCAGTCTTCATGAAATAACTTTTCTGAAGTCTGCTTAGTACCCGCCACCCCTCGCAGATGGAACAATGAGGAGTTAATGGGAGGTCAGAACAAGGCAGGGATGAAGGGACGAGTGCTGGGGGAGCTGCAGCATGTAACTTTTATTAGAAAGAATGCTTTTTACATATTTGATAAAAGTAAAGTATAATCTTAGCGGTCTCAGCGCTGTCAGTCATTCTCTTGTACATCTCTTCCCACTTGCCCTCTGCTTTGCAACAGCTGGTTCACCACAACATAGCCTGCCACATATGCTAAAGGTCATTAGCGTGGCCACTGGTGATGGCAGATAAACAGTTTTCCTGCAACAGTAAGTTTTTTCACTGCTATTAGCACATTGAGCAGCATTGATTGATAGCACTAAGACTCTCCTCCTGGCTCTGATTGGTTGTTTTTGTCTGTTAGTTGTGAATTTTGATAAAGGAAACTAGAAGTAGCTCAGTGAGGAGTTGGAGAAGCTGAATCTTTTCACAAATTATGTGCTATACTGCCATGACATGGTGACAGTGTTAACAAATTTGGAAAAGGCATGTTTTTGTAAAAGTTACATATTGCAGCTTTAAGAGTTCACAATTTCAACATAGCAATCCCCATAGACATTGATTACAGTTTCTCTTGCAAACGTTATTGCTGTGTTTGTGGTGCTTGTTACTTTCAGTAACCAAGCACCACTTTTAATTTGTTGAGTTTGTAGATGCATGTGCTACACCTAACTTTGGTTTTAGACATGCTCATACACATGTCTTGTAAACATGACCACATCTGACTGCTGCTGATCCGAGGACGCTAATTCGGCGTCAAGTTCGTTCAAGTTGTAACTTGGGGTAGTTGGAGTTACCCCTAGTTTCCCAGTGGGAAATCCAACTTCAACAGCAAGAGTGTTCCAGTTGATTTTTCTGACTAGGAGATCAAAACCAGTTCCTAGTTTGAGTGGTTGAGGTGTTGGCCTGCTCCTGAACCTAAGTTAACAAGTTAACACCATCTCTTGATCAGTGATGTCCAAAACTCAGCCTTTTCACTTCAGTTATAAGGTAATTTTGAAAAAGATATATTACTACAGGTACTTTATATCTGAGTTAAAGGTTCCAATACATAATCACAATCCCAAAATTTTATTCATGATTATAATGTGCAAATGCAAACTTCTGATTTGAATTTTTTTTAAAAATGATATACATGTATTCGGGTGTGTATTCACTTCAAACTGCAAAACTCACTCTTCAGTTTATCATTACATGTTTCCTTCTTGAACATACATTTCTTCAATGTTGCTTAAAGCAAAAGACTTTTCACATATTGAAGATTTTGTTTTCCTTTTTGTCATATTTCCTTTTTGTCAGTGGAAATGTATTCTAGTTTCCAGTATCTCATTTCTCTCATCTAATTTACTCTTCTGTTACCCTAGTTAGATAGCAGAACAGGGTTTCACTATTCAAGTTAATCAGTCTGACTGTTGCTGATGCATGTGCTCATGATGTACACGCAGTCCTTGGCCCTATCTCCTGCGTCATGTTTTAGACAGCATCAGAGGGAATTCTCATGCAGTGGCCTACATAATTCGTGGATAACAATGACACATTCATATCTGCAAAATGCGCTCTTCGGATGTTGTGATAGCCTGGATTTTCTTATCATTTTCTTCTGTAATGTCTAATTTTGGATCAACTTCTGCCACTAATAGAGGTCAGTTATGTATTTAATACTTTTACAATTCACAACATTATTACTAATCTTTTTTTATGTATATATCTTTAGCTTTTATAAAATAAAAAATAAATCCATCTCTGTATAGTTTTGAAGCTAACCTATGGTTGTAAAAGAAATAGCCTGTTTTCTGCTGTTCTTAGTAATTTAGCTATTTAGTTATTGGAAAACAGGATCTGTTTCAATAGTTAAAAAGAAAACATAACCCATCTTTATTCAATGAAGCGAAGGTAACTAACGTTGATAATTATGACATCCATTAAACAGCATGCTCAGGTAAACCTTCACTTTATTGCAGTACAATTTTAAAGTGTAATGACTCCTCTAAACATTAAGCCAAAGCTCATTAACTTTATAGTTAGCAATTATGACCAAAAAGCTTTGTTCTTACTTCTGGATTGCATGAATTGCAGCCCAAACAGACACAATCAAACTAATCTCCTTGTTTTACATGAACACTTCACTTGCCTACAAGACTTTATCAAAAATGGAACACAAAATTGCATCTGTAAATTAATTATTTAACAGCCACACACCCAGAACCAACAAAGGGAAAAATACACTACCTTAGTGCCACCATGTGGTGAACTGAACAGATACAGCTGAAGAAGATTAAGTTTCCTAATAAAATGGTCATATTTAAGCCAAACAGTAATTCATAGGCTTCTTTAGAAAACAGAACTAACACTGTAGTTTTAAAAACGTACCCGTGCAACAAATATATGAGAATGTGTTATGTACAACTTATTTGTTTCTATTATATACATGTTTTTAAGAAATGACAACCCCTCTCTGCTCTTCTTTCTGCACAACCTCTCCCAGCTGCCTGACAAGATCGGCCAGTGTGTTTAAATCATGGTTCCCTCTTTCCAGCAGCTCGTAACGAAGGCTCGAGATGTCCTGTTTGATCTCTCTCAGCTCACCTTTGAGTGAAGTAAGTTATGTATTTATTCACTTTTTGGCAATTCCATGATCTAGAGATGAAAAAAAAAACAATAGTGTTTCCAGGAAACGTACCTTCATTCACTTCGTCGTTATCTTTATCTCTCTGTGCTTTAAATATGTATCGTTTGATGAGGCAGTTCATTACTTTCTGCGAAAAAATAAAAAAATATTCAAGTGTTACATCAATGACCCATCAACTTGTAGCAAATATAACATTGATTCTTTTTTAACCTAACATTTAACTTGATTCTCTTATTCAGTTGGAAAACCGTGTTAAGAAATAAACTTTTACTTAATGTTACGAGTACTGCAACATTTTCATTAAGTTTCCTGGTTTTACATGGAGTTTCAGATTGCCCTCCAATCTATTAGGATTCCCAGGGTTATGGGATGGAAAACGGCCCACAGCATCTCACATCCTCCACCATACCCAACGGTGAGCATATGATGATTGATTTATTCACACAATAAATTCACAAAATATTCCTTAGTTTCATCTAAATGACACATTTTGAATGAAGGCCAGAATAAATACATTTCTGTATCGCATATTTATTCCCCGGAAAAATAGTTAAAAGTTTACTATTGAAAAGTTGCCAGATGCTCTGATAGCCTAAAAATGTAAAGTGTAACTTAAAAAAACTGCTTCCGTTATATTTATTTTTAGAAGAATTGTTAGGGGATGAATTTGTTAAAAAGAGTTTTGTTTTATTTTATACTACTACAATAAAATATTATGCTTTTGAGACTTTCTACACATCTTTCTATCAATAAATATGGATGCTGTTTTATTAAGTTTGTTAGGAGACACACTAATATGCAGAAAATGTGTGCAAAATATCAAATGTGTTGTTAAGAAATGACCATCTGTTGTCAGGAAATGAAAAATGCTTTACTTGATGACGCGTAGGTTGAACAGATGAGTCCTCCTTCAGTCCTCCGTGTTCCCTTAACTATAGTATCAGAAAGAGTGAAAAGCAGAAAATAAGACTTTTATTGCACTTTAATTGCATTTTCAGAACTTTATAACATCTATAAACCCAAATTTAGATTTGCCAAAGGTCAGGTATGAAATCATTTTGGAGAAGATGTATTACATTTTTTAGATCCATGTCATTGTTTGAATTCTCTTTGCTTTTTCTTGAAGATCCGATCAATGTCTTTATCCCGAGTAGGAAGGACATCACAGACTTGGGGCTGGGAATGAGGTTGAAGGGTACAGGCAGAGTGCTGCCATGCTCAAAGTAGGAAAACCAGAGTTTGGCTCGGGCAAATTTCCACTCCACGTCAGCATCATCCTGAAGTATCAGATAAGAGAAGGCATTCGGAGGTTAGAAATAAAAAACCATGAAGGTCGGCTGAAAATTGAAAAAGACGATGGATTGTATTCCACGATAACTCATGAAAGACAAAATCAAGAAGTAATTAAAACATGTTTGGGGTCGATACTACCTTCACTGGTTTAATGCTTTCCCCCTCTCTCATTACCTACTTTTCTCAATATCCACTTTCAAATAATGGCTGTTAGAGCCAATAAGACCTTAAAAAAACATGTTGTGTTTGAGTCATACCTCGATTTCCTGGAAGGAGCTGTTGAACATGGCTATGAGCATGTTCAGCAGAACAATCACCATGATGATGTTGTACACGCCATACAGAACATAGCCTATGTTCTCAATAAACTTATGGTTGATGTTTAATACCACAGATTTTACTTCTGACAGTCCGAAGATGGCCCAGAATAATGTTTTAAAACTTTCTTCAACCCTGGAAGAAGAGAGAAATCAATAATAACATACAAACTATTGTCGCAGCCTGTAAGTGTTTTGCACTTACGTTGTAAAGGCAACGTTGTGTTTGGCTCCAAGGTAGTATGAGTATAGATCGAACATTCCCACCATGAAAGCGACAAACACCGTCATGAAAATCACCATGAACTGAAAAATGTCTTTCATCGTTCTTCCCAGAGAGATCTGCAACGGCCCAAACCTCTCGTTGGCAGGCAGGATGTACGCAATGCGGGAAAAACTCAGAACGATGGCAATCGCATAGAGACCTTCGGAGATAAGCTGAGGGTCTGAGGGCATCCAGTGAATTCTTGCTGAAAATATGTAAAAATGGTGTTACCTAGAGAACCTTAGGTTTTGTAAACATTCATCCTATCTATTTTTACTATTTGTGTAAGAAAAGGAAACTTATGAAAGCCATAGTAGCCCCCCAGAATTCAACGGTTCATTATATCATAAATATATCTAACTAAATGTATACAATTTTGGATGTATACTTACCCAGCTGAAAATATTGCACCTCAGAAGGCAAGGTCATGTTGAATGGATGCTTGTCAATGTAGCACTGTGCAGAATGTGCATGCCAGAAAGCCATTAATCTTGCGATGAAAGAGGTCATAAAAATGGCCAAAATACTAAAATCGAGAAGGTTCCATGGTTCTAAGATGTACTCGTGGATGTCTTGTGACCAAATATCTTTACATTCTTCCCATATCTTGCCTGTAGGGGGGGAGAGGAATCGTGATTTGTTGAGCTGACAGTGACAATGAACAAAACAATAAAGCAGAATAGGGAATTCATCCTGAAACGTAGAATGTATACCATTACCCCGTCTGTACATTTTGGTGGAGATACAACTAGCATTACATTTGCAGTTGTACGGTAATCTATTGTTTTTAATTGTGATAGGCAGTTACTGTATACCAGTAACTTTAAAAACATTTGTTCAGGTAAAATGTGTCAAAAGAATACCTATAACCCAGAAAATGATAAGAATCTCCATCCAGGTAAAACTGGTGGTCTTCATCCGGAAAACCTGTGAAGGGTAATCGTGGGTGGTCATGTTCGGGAGCAGTGATGTTCCTGCGAAGCGGTCCGCTGCGTTTAGAACCAGCAGACAGAGGAATATGATGAAGGAAGCTGCATGAGCCACAAACTTCAGGAAGGGTCCACGCATGAGTTTCCCCAACTGCGATAAAAATGTCATTTTGAGAAGCATCAATTTACCACATAAACTGTAAATATTTCTCATTTAAAAAACAAAACATTCTCTGAGTTATAATAATGTGTAATAGGGGTAAAAACTAACCTTACTTGATGGTGCTATCCAGTAAATAAAAGCTAGGACAGGTAACCCAATAGCTACACCGAAGACAAAAAGAACTTTAACTGCAACTGTTTGCTGATGCAGTCCAGTCAGGTTCTCATACCAGATTGATTGGAGATGCTGCTGGCAGTTTGGATGGGCCACAAACTGCAAAAAATAAGATATTTATGTTGATCCATGCATTTCCTAGAAGTTTATGAGGTAAAAGCACATTACTATTGTGATTGATTTTTGTTTTTTCCCCCTCCCTACTGGCACTTTCCAACCACTCTGACTGAATCTGAGTTGTTATGTGAGGAAGAATGGGGAAGCTTCAATCTCTACATGTGCAAAACACACAAAGTACAGTTTTGATGTAGGGTGGCTAAAAATTGCACACCACACTTTTCAGATGTTTGAATCCTCATCACATTTCCTCACACTTCACAATCATGCATGTCTTTGTGTTTCAACAAGACAAAATAAAATTTGAAGAAACTATGTCAATTAGTGCATGAGGTTGAAAAAAGAAGTGAAAAATAAATTGGAGGGCTGAACAATATTTACCTTTTTAACTTCATATTTTATTGCCAGCTTTAACCTGATCAGGTTCGGTTTGGCAGAGGTCGCTGTGTTAGCAATGGATTCCATGTCACCATTTAGAACCGCCTCCACTTCCTCTGTGTTCCGACACAAATCCAAGAGTCCCACCACAAAGTCCTTGCACTGCATGGACAATTTCTTGTAGTCATTCTGAAACAGACAAATTACATTTTCATTTAAGGCATAATATGTGAAATTATACTTTGGACGAGACAAGAATTGTATTTTTGTACCTTGAACTCTTTCTCAGTGTTGGCCAGAAGTGCGAGCTCATTGCTCAGCTCCAAAGCTGCCATCACAGGATCCTGACTCGAAAGGCAAAGATACGCTGGGCTTGCGAGGCCTTTGTAAGCACTGATACGAGACTGAGAGTGGCAGAAGGTGTCAAGCCTCTGCTGCTCAATACAGGCCCTGCATTGACAGAAGTAGTCATGGGGACGTTCTATATGGGCCCCCCTTAATAGTAGCATGTGTACTATCTCGTACTCGTGACACTGAGAAGCCAGGATAATAGGAGTTATGTCATGAGAGAAACGCGTGCCGTCCTCATCGTAGGAGAAAAAGTCGTCCCGTGTCTTGTCATGCCTGGGGTTCTTCGTCAACCTCTGACCATCTGCAAACGCCTCGTGGCTTAAAATGGCTTCCACTATGCGGATGTACCCTTTACTGATGGCTAACAGCAAAGCATCCCCCAGTTTTGCAAGTTCTTTCCTCTTAAGCAAAAGCTTGACCACTTCTAAGTGCTCACTCGCGACTGCCAGCTGCAGTGCATTCTGCCCCATGTAGTTGACGCAGTTGATATTGAGGTGTGGAAGCTCCTCCAGCATCCGCCTCACTTCGGGGATGTTGCCGTACTCTGCAGCTTCTAGGAACACCTCCTCAGCAATGGAGAGGCAGGAGGAAGGGTGAGCTTGGAACAGGTAACCAGCTCCCCGAGCTGTTTGTCTTCGATGTTTGGCTCCAACATGCCCCGCCATCATCAAGGCTCTCCTTTCACTGAACCATCTGAGGACGGATGAACATGTTGTGGGCATGTGATGTTGTAGTAAGAAAGATGCAAACAGAGACTGCATCTTGCAGTATCAAAGTTTCAATACTTCACACAAAGGTGGTATATGTGTATTTTTCATAATAGAGTAAGTATTGATACTTACTGATAAGTATCAGTATGTATACTTATCAGTATATTAGGTCATTGAGAAGTATCATCAAACTTCTGACCTTTAGGCATTTTTGTGGTTTTTCTTTTGAATTATTTTGTTAAAACCTAGGACAGACCTGAAATGATTAATTGTATTAATCAGAATCAATTTTAAAATAACCACCAACTAATTTAGTGATTGCTTAATCTTTTAACTGTAATATACAGACTCCAAAAAGGTAATTTTCTGAAAGAAAAATATATTCAGTGCAGTAATTAAGTAAAAACTGTAAAAAAAAAATAAAAATTATGTACAAATTTTGCATTTAAGATTTTTTAAAAAGCCTCTGTCTGTGTCATATTCATTTCATCTCTGCATGGTGGATCAAACAAAAGAATGTAAGATGAACATTGGAGAAAAATCACCATCACAAGAACAAAGGTACACCTCAGACAGGTCAGCAATAAAGTAGGGCAAGATCATGAAACATCCCAAACTCTGCTTTCTGTCAAACCTCTAAGATCTAACCAAAATAGTTGTTTATACTGAAGGTCGTTTACTAATTAGATGTACAGAAAAGGCCTATTTATTTACACACAATTCTTTACATTAGTATAACACATGAACATTTCCATAATTATGTTGAAGATCGCAGTTATAATTCTACAATAAAGGGATAAAATATCAGTTTCATCCCAGCCTTTGTTTGTTGGAAGGCTGAGATTGTACCTCAGGTTGGTCTTGTTATTATAACTCGCACCAGGTTTACATGTGTGATGCCACCCACAGATTCATCATCTGCTCTTTCATCTGATGGGATAATATTATAATCCTCTCCAAGTGAAGAGACATTTATTAATTTTAGATTTATTTGATCTGGGACAAATCATAAAACATTGTTACCTTTAAAAGAATTGTCCTGACTATAGGCCTTCCAGCTGGAGGCTGATTTGCAAACCCAGTCTCTTGCTAGGCATTTATAAGTCAATATTTAAAACATAAAATATTAAAACCTATTTAAAACTAACAGTATATTATTTCAATTACAAAAACAGCAACAAACAAAAAGCATTGTAATTACGTTTACATATTTGTCTTTCTTTGAGGCTTTTTTCTTTTCACAAGAAATGTAAAGGTTCTCCAACTTAGAATAATTTTATTAGAAAATGTCTTTTTTTTGACATGCAAGATTTTTTTTTATTTTATACAGGAATCATACATCAGTGGCTTTGTTCAACACTATTTCTATCGTGTGCTTCTGTCAAACGACTAAAATGACCCTGTTCAGGCAATTGCATTTAAATACTATGGTTATCTCTGGAGCTAATTGCTTTAGCACAATTGCTGCAGATGACAAACGAGAATAGTGCCTCTTTATGTAGTAATAATTAGTGTTAACTTTATTCTGTCCCATTAAGCAACATCATGTGCATGCAAGAAATGCATATGAATCATTTTATTGTACTGCTAAATATGTTTCTTCTTGTGTGGTTTTAGGGGCATCCCGGAGAAAAAGCTAAGTTAAAAAAAAATGCTGCCCATTATTCAAGTAAAGTAGTTCTAAACCTTAAAATTAATTACAATCTTTATAATGAAAAAAAAATATCTCATAAGATTGGATGAAAATGTGTTGATTCCTATAAAACAGATAAAGCTACTTGCCTGGATTTTTGAGACTGCCTCAAAGTGAGAGTCCTGCTGCGTTTTATCATGATGACAGGGATCCAGAGATGTCCATCAGGATATGATGACTCTTACTGTAAAAGGAATTAATATAACTGCAATTAATATTAATAACTGCATTAATATTGTGCTAGATTAACAAGATTGCTATGTGGAGTAAAAAGAAAATGAAGGATTAATCTATTGAAATAATCCAATAGGATGTTTCACTCACCTTGGAAAAGCCTGGTCCACTAAATAACCTTCACATCATTTATATATTAAATCATATGGCAAAATTGTATCCAAACATGGCCAAGTGGAGCTCAAGGAGGAACTGTTTGCTTCATTACCACCTGTTTGACTGTGACAGTATGCCAACCACCTATGGTTCTCATAGTGCTTGTGTTTGTGAGCCTGGTGGGCGGGTTTTGAGCAGATTTATAGGTGTGTCCTACATCAGGATTATTCCCTGTCCTTTATTTTCAATAAATGCCCCTTTAAGCCTCTGCAAAGCAAAATAGGGCAGTAGGTTTTTGAAGTAAAAGAAGATTCTATCAAAATTGAAGTGAAATTATGCACTAAACTCAGATCAAATGCATCAAACTAGCCAGATTTTATCCACCTCTGGCTTTAGATGGAAGTCTGCCTGAGTGTGTCAATTTTAGGACATTGTTGCAATGTCCTAAAATACTACCCCATGTTCTGAGGACAGCAACGAATGGAAAAGCGGATTTTCCCAAATCCTCTTAACTGATGATGCACTCAAAAATAAAAGGTAAAAGGCTACAGACACACCTAAGCTTTCAAACTAAGCAATGAAAGCAATCAGCTCCACCAGTGTAGAAAGAGTGTATATATAGACTGGCTGAAACATTAATTTAAATCAAAGCTTCTCGATAGGGGTCAACAAGTAAGCACAAATACTACTCTTTCCAGTATTTTATTCATAGATGGTGATAGGGTACAGACACCCAACTAGGAAGTGTCATTTTTATGTTGAATACTTAAAATCAGAAGCACAGTGGTGTCTCCAGAAAGTATTCTTTTAAGGAGGAACCAAATGAGGATACTTTAAAATCACACACCAAAACAAAAACCCATAAAAATTTGTTTTTCTTCGGGAGATTTAGTGTGCTGAAGAAACACTAAATCTTCAGCATACTGAAAAATAGACAAAATAATGTGTTTTGCATCAAAATAATGTGTTTTATGTATTATGTGTTTTACTAAAAGCCACAACACATAATACAGAGGTTCGTCAACATATTTCAAAAATAATCAAAGTGTACCTATTGTAATAACTCAATACAAAAAATGAAATTCAAAGGCTTTAAAAATAGCTTATAGATAATTTAATTCCAGTATTTTTTAAATTTTGAAATCAGAAGTTATGGCTTAAAGCTGATGAAAAAACACAAAATTTAGGAAAATTTAAGAAATGTCCTGATCCATACCAGACCCAACAATTCAGTCCCATAGACTGATCATCTACATACAATACTGCAAGATAATGCAGTAGGATGGCATTTCGGTTTCAAAAATGCTTATAAATTTATTTTTCGTCATGATAGTTTCTGAAAAAATTGAATTTGCTATTTTTATTACCTGTAGGCCTTAATTGAAATAATAATAAAAAAGACCTGCTTGAAACATTTCACCATGCGTGCAACAAATCCATGTTTCACTTTCTAACTTGCATTGCTGATAAACTCCGTTATTTACGTATGACCGAAACGTATTATATTAAAATTCACTGGTAGGAATTGAGCGGATGCGTGTTTTTATCTTTTCAATACCTTTTTGTTTTCAGGTTAGTCGTGTTAAATGACGTTTCGTCTTCGTTTAAGTGCATTTCCGACACTTTTTGGTGTACGTAAAGGCAGCACGCGGTTGTTAAGGAACTGCGTCCCCCGGTTGCTATCATGGAGGGACTATACACAGAGCACAAGCGGAAACTCACAGCTATCGCTACCAAATGACGTTTTTCGTGTCGTTTTTAAATGAACTTGTGATACTCGGTTGTGGATAATGGTAGAACGTATCGCTAGTTGGATTTGAAGACTGTAACCTCGCCCTGAAAACGGATGAGTGAATTAAAATTTAACGGCGTGACGTAGTGAGAAAAAAAAAAAAAAGAAGAAGCAGCGGCTCAGTTTTGCTCAGGAACTTGGAGCTGTCCCTACGAACATCAAAAAGCAAGATTCTGGGAGGATGCAGGCTCTACAAGCAAACTTCTCCTATCTACTGTATCCTCAAATGACTTATTTTATTAATCCTGTAAATACCGGGAACTCTGTCTCGCACAACGCATGAGGTGTTCAGGTGAAGCTTGTCAATAGTATGAAGGTTATATGAACAGTCTGTTTAATTTATGACATTATTCATGATGTTCTCTACTCACAGGTAATTGTGAGTAGAGAATTACTTGTTAACTAAATTGTTCCAAATTAAATATATTTCATTTTAGCTTATAACTATAATTCTTGTTGCCCATTGGATGCCAACAGTCTTCTACTAATTACTACTAAATTTTACCTGCAAATATATTCATTAACTTTGTCTTATATTTTCTGGAAGCAAATATATATCTATATTTTTTTTACATTTTCTACAAATAAAAAGTGGAAAGGTGTCAACAATCATAACAGTCAGTTTGATTTATAATGCCTTTTATATCTCCAAATAATATCTCAAATGGCACAGACTTCTTAAGGCTATTGGTTGAACTGGAGTTTATTTTGGGGGCTTGGAGTAAAAGGATCTTAAAATATAATTCAAATGTGTAATGTAGTACTTTATATAACCGCTAGGGAGCAGCACTCTGACCTGGGCTAAGTGTATTTTGTAGTATAAGTCGGTTATGTAACTTTTTTGCTCTGTGAAGCAGAATTAGCATTTAAGAAACCTGGATCAAGAAATTTGAATAACGCCTTGATCAAAATGTTTATTTAATAGATTTTTTTTTTATTTTTCAATTATTAATAAATAAAATATTTTGCCTGGAACTATGACATTTATAAATGTCTGAATAACATGTTGAAAATATGACTGAAAAATTAACACCCATTTTTTTCTAGCTAAGTAATCTTTTACTTAGTTTGCAGGTACCTTAGTAACTTTGCAAACAGAAACCCATACAGGATGACACCCATGTTTCTCCTTAGCATGGTACTTCTCCTCTAGAAACTCCAAGTTTGGATATACCAGAAATCTCAGAAATGAGCGGCTACTATTGATCCAGCAGCAGAGGTTGTGCAAAGCCCGAGCTCGGAAATGTTTGCGGGAGACCAATCAACGGAGAAAGTCAGTTCCTCTCTCTGTTTTCATTTCTTTTTTTTTCTTGTCCTTTGTTCTGACAAGATGTTTGCAGGTTGCAACCCAAACCTTTCTGGAGAGACTCAGTTTACTGTAGAGTTAGATCTTTTCACTTTCGCTGGAAAGGTCATTCTGTCTGTGTCTAAGTCCTGTAAACACACTAATAGGTTTTCTTATCAGCATAAACAAAATATGTGAGGTTCTGTTTTTGAACCAATAAGCAATGCTTATCTAGTTATACATATTTTTTTCTACTTTCTCTATGAGGTATCGCAAAAGAAAAATAGTGCTGAATTTATATTGTTTCCTTTTGCTTTTGAATTCAGTACATATTAAAGCTCTAACTTACAGCTCCTGAGAAGGTCATATATTATGTGAAGTGCAATTTTCCTGGTCTGTCACATATAAACAAAAGAACATACATTAAACTATGTGGTTGTAAAATTGCTGAGTGTGGAAGGATTCAAAGGGAATATAATCTTTTTCAATGTCTAAACTCTCAGAATGTTTAATTATTTTTGAAATATTTCAACTATTTTTTCCCAGTAAATAAGCTGATATCTTTTGTTTACATTTAATTAATATTCTGTTTTTATTATTATTATTATTATTTGCTTCCTAGGCTAATCCTCATTATTTATTAATGACTATCATGAAACATATCTGAAGAAACAGAGTCAGGTTTCTGTTTCTAAGATGTGTCTATTCATCATGTGAGAACGTTCCTCACCTGGATTCTCTGCTGCTGCTCAGGGCTCTGGAGGAGCGGAGGAAGCAATGGGACATTCAGGAGCAGCTCCTGAGAAACAACATCCTGCAACAGCGCAGGCAGCAGGTAGAGGAGGCAACCCAGCGCTTCCAGAGAGCCCATCTGCCTCCTTCTCAGAGATTCAGGCCACGTTGGTGTCGCGTTTCACACACATGTAAATTTTGAGATAACAATCTATCGACGAACTTAACACGATGTTTTGTTTTTATTATAGTTATCAAAAAAAAAAACAGAGATATGGAGGAGGCACTTAGTCAAATCCAACACACAGCGGATTGGTATACCCAGACCCCCTCAGTGGTGTCACCCATTCACACTCCCAGGTAAAAATGCTGTAAATTTATCATACTTTATACACATAAAACAATGTAGTTTGTCCCATAATCGATGGGTTGACACAATACTGTATGTAAATACAGTTTTGCCTTTTTTTAACAGTTAAAGGGTTAATATTCAGTTTTTTTTTCTGTTTTTTTTTTCCTACTTGGAAAAAGTCGCCCTCCAACTACAAAGCCTCCCACAGTTTCCAAATCCTCTCCCCGCCAAACGCTCACTGCTGAGGAGGCCTACACTAAACTGCTTCAGGAGCACCGCATCAGGAAGGATCTGGAAATTCACAGTTTTGAGGTTTTTGTGTCATTTTATTTCAACAGCTTAGGCGTGGGAACTCTTCATTTAAATGAATTAATTCCATACATATTAATGCATTAGAAGTGTGTATTTTGATATGCCCATTGACCTGGCACCCAAATGTCATCTCCAAACAAAACGTCTTGTTTATTATGTCGACATACTGTTTTTGATTAAAATGTAGCCTAATTAGTCAATTATAGACTAATGCAACTAATTGGATGAAAATGTTTTGATTGAGTCCTGCCCCTTGACTTAATGTAATAAAAACAATTTTCTTTGAGGTCATGGAATCATCTCTATTTGAATTTAAATACATTTTGTTCAATTTAAACGAGTAAAAAAAATATGCTCCGAATTCAAACGTTCCATTGAGAATGACCAGTGTACTCATTCACCACCGCTAGGGGGAGCTTAAGTACAACTTTGTATCATTCACACTCTTGGATGCCAACAGTCTTCTACTAATTACGACTAAATTTTTCCTGCAAATATATTCATTAACTTTGTCTTATATTTTCTGGAAACATTTTTTTTCCACATTTTCTACAAATAAAAAGTGGAAAGGTGTCAACAATCATAACAGTCAGTTTGATTTATAATGCCTTTTATATCTCCAAATAATATCTCAAATGGCACAGACTTCTGAAGGCTATTGGTTGAACTGGAGTTTATTTTGGGGGCTTGGAGTAAAAGGATCTTAAAGTATAATTCAAATGTGTAATGTAGTACTTTATATAACCGCTAGGGAGCAGCACTCTGACCTGGGCTAAGTGTATTTTGTAGTATAAGTCGGTTATGTAACTTTTTTGCTCTGTTTGTGAAGCAGAATTAGCATTTAAGAAACCTGGATCAAGAAATCTGAATAATGCCTGGATCAAAATGTTTATTTAATAGATTTTTTTTATTTTCAATTATTATGTTCTGTACTTTTATCTGCTTCTTTTGTTCACACACTTGAAAAAATATATTTTTAGAATAATTTTTCTATTTTACTTTCTTTCACTGAATCAAAGCATCACTGAATACTTTTCACCATAGTTAGATTGAATATATTTAGCTCTAAATCCAATTTACTTAATATGATTAGAACATTTTTGTAACATTTTGAACAGTTATTTCTTTTTCACTCAATACTTCCTTTTTGCCTCTGTATTGCAGGCAAGCCAGCTGTCTGATACCAGTATTTCTGAAAGCCTTTTAAGCAAGGACAGCTTGGAGATTGAAAACTCAGACCAAAGTACATTAAGTCCACGGAGTCCGTATTCATCACTTTTTCTGGACTTTGAGAAACTAAAGAAGCGGCGTGATTTAACCCCAAGATCAGCCCCGACTTCAGTCTCGGCAATGATGCTTCAGGATCAAAATTCAGCCCTTCTTAGAAAACTTGACAAACACAAACAAAAAAGAGAGACATATTATAATATGAATGTTTCCCCAAGCGTCACATCTGGAAAACAAACAGCTTTTTCTACACTTGCTGATGACGACTCAAAGCACTTGGAGGCAAAATCCATGAAAAGCAGTCAAACCCGCACCATTCTGGACACCAATGAAGTTGATGCTGATGATACTAAAGTGGAAGACTTAGATGCCACAGAAGACTATTTGTTACCCTATAGATCTCAAATTATTGATGAAGACAGTCAGTTGATGTATCCATCACACATTCCTTTCTCTTCTGAAAATGACATTTTATTGGAGACGCAGATGAAAAGAAGTGTTCCCAATAATTACTTAAATGATGAAGTCCTTTTGCATACAGTAAAAGAAAACCTCCAGAGGTTATCTGAGAAAGTAGCCTCTATTTCCATTAATAACCTCAACAAAGTCTCAAACCTAATGTACCAAACAGAGAAACTCATGAATGCAACATCAACATCATCTACATGTTTCTCTGATAATCAATCAGAGACAGAGAAGTGTGACAACGTAAAAGAAGAAGATAAAGAAACACCAATGATCTCCACTTATTCAGTATGCAACACCAGACTACTCAAAGGAATCCTAAAAAAACAGTCCAAGTATTCTTCAGAGAATTTGTGTTTGTATGATCCAGAACATTTAATTTTGTCAAAACAAGTAGCGTTTGCAATAAGAGACAGTATTGAATTGACCAGAGCAAAATCCAAAGATGTGGTGGTCAATAGCAGCATGAAAAAAAAGCTTCGCTGGTTTGATGAAGTCCATCCAGAAAAGGAGTCCAAAGAGCAAGACACAGCAAACCAGGAGAAACCCGTGTCCCACCCAGCAAACATCTCCAAGGACCACCATCCAAGTGTCACTAGAGAGAATGAGTCTTCAAAGCCTGGAGTCAGAACGCTGCCAGCTGCCTCTGTTGATTATCGATTTGCAAAAGAAGCATGGGCAGATGTTGGGTTTCAAGTTAACTTGGCCCAGGAGCGAGCAAACAGGGTCAAGGCGCAGGGTGCCAGTACCAAGACCAGTGGGTCAAAGGTCCCTCGGAGAGATTGTAAGGCCAGACTCCGTGGGGGTCCTGTTTCCTCACGAGTAAGAAAGGGCACCATCATACGACCTCAATCTGCCACTGAGGTGATTCAGATTGGCAAAACCCAGGGGAAGATCATGGTGCCCCGCCCACCTCCTCGGACAGAGCCGATGGAAGAAAATGACGTAAAACAAGCCCCCGTCACAGAGGAGGCTCCGTACAGGAACATCTCAGAGGAGACATACCCCTGCCCTATCTGCATGTTTTTAGACTGCAATGTGAATGGTGCATCCAGTTCGGGACCTCAAGAGATTCACAACATCAATGGAAGAGGGAAGATGAATGAGAAAGGCCAGTGTTTACACATCACACCCACAGATGAAGAGATCGCACAGCTCTGGGACGGAGTCCGCAGTGCCTTAAACACAAAGGATGGTAATGAATGTTTCATTATGTGCTCATGTCAAGTTACCCAAAAACATCAATGTGCTTTTAAATGAAATAGTCTGGTAGACTATTGCAAGGTGGTACAATTGAAAGGAAAATGATAACTGGTCAATGTATTCAGTCTTTCTGAGTCTATACTCTGCAGAAGAATCCTTCACTGCTATTACAGATGTGTCTTTTGGAGTATGCCTTTGCCAGCTTAGTACGACAGAGTACAAGGTTCATACTAAGAAAACATGAAAAACATTTTTTTTTTTTTTTTTACAATTTTTGCGTTACGTATCTCTACAGTTTTATCCCTGACATATCATCTTCATTATGTTGTTTGTTCACAGAAAAGTGCTATAAAATATCCAAGGAGGACCAAAACTATTTCTAAGAGGCAATTTTTCTACTGTTCAATCAAATTTTCATCAGACTTGTTTCTTTCTGAACAGTAGATTTAAATTTCACATAAATATACGCACAAATAGCTTCTGTTTTTTTTAACAACATGCATAATTGAATAAATATTTGATATATAGAACAAAACTTGCCACTTGTCACTTAGACAACTCTGATGTATTATAGCCAGCAATTCTTTCATTTCTTTATTGAGTGGATTGTTGATGCTGAATTTATTAACTTTGTTACATTTAACGACTGGACGTTATTTCATCTGCCTTTGTGTCTGTCAAATAAAGCTTTATTTTAGCTAAGTCTAAAACTGTTAAATTAATTGATTTACTCAGGAACGCCTGAGTAAATCAATGTGTTTCTGAAAAATAGATGCAATACTTTGTCCTTTTAGTGTTGCTCAGGTTTTCCATTTACACCAATGGAAAATCTGAGTAAATCAATGTGTTCCTGAACAATAGATGCAATACTATGACCTTTTAGTGTTGATTACATAAGTTAAATATCTTCTTTTAGCCAAACCTGTCCTTCAAAAGCAAGCCCCGGGGAGCAGGCAAGTCTACAGGAAACCCTTTGCGGAGCACAGCAGACAACCTCCTGTTGCAGGAAGCAGGAAATTTCTTCAGAGCTCTCAGGTGAATCTTTGCACAGGTCTGCAGTTGCCCTGTGGGGAGGGAAAGTGAGCATAATTATTAATGATCAGACAGTTGGTAGGTTTAAACTTGTTTTGCTGTCTCTTTAATACCACACATTGTCTAAGTGAAGTCGATTAACAGACACTTCTTGTTAATCAAGACATTCCTGTTGATCTTGAGTTGTACTAAAAAAAAAAAAGCACAGACACACAGCTGCTGGTTATACCTCTGTTGATCCCTAGAATCTAAAAGTCACAATGTAAAGCTTATCTGGAACATGATGATGTAACACAAAGTTGTTTTGGTTTTTTGTAGCCTAAAAAGCAGAACACTGAGCTGATGAGACCAGGTCCAAGGAACTGGAATACAATTTCTCAAAATGAAGGTACAACTTTCTGTATTTTAAGTTTTTTTTTTTAAAGAATATTTATACTTAATTTAGTTCCTAATATATTTACATATTCAGATACTTCTACTGTATAAATCCTGCATGTCTTGTGACAAACACCACATGAGAGTTCTTACCACTACAGAGCTTTGAGCCCCTGGAAAGATTGGTCTTGATTGTTTTTCTTTTTTTTTTCTGTTAAGTTAGTTCAATTTTTGCAATTGGTCAAATATTCCCCATAGTTGTGGATACTGTGCACCTGGGAGGATTTTTGCTCGATTTTACTTTTGAACAGTTGTTTTGATGAGTAACTATAGCAGCAAGGTATCATTTTTACTACTTGGAGCAGCTGATTAGTGTCTTGAAAGTTCAGCTAATAATGTACTATAAGCCCACATCCCAGAGGAGTCCAAAAGAAGGCTTCATTAAGGCAGAGCAGGACAAAAAAAGGAGAGAGACGAGGAGGAAGTTTTAGCCATCCCATCCAACGATCATAGTGTGCGAGGATCATATCCCCTACTCCAACATCTCTCTGACCAGCTTTCTAACCATATGGCCAGACAGAGAATTAAAGAGTAGCAGGAAAAGCAAATGATGTGGATTAGCAGAGCTTGTCACAAAATAATGTGTCATTGAGCAATATATGGTGCTAGATTTGGTAGTTTTGAACATTTTTTTCAGTTTCAGAAAATTATTTTCAGTTCAGTCTTTTTTTTATCTTTTGAACAAACGCTTTGGGCCCAATATAGCTTCATAGGATATAATCTTTCTGCCTGGAAGAGCATTTTATGAGTTACAACAACATTTACTTCCCTCCAGGATCAATAGAATATTTTAAAATTTAATTTAATATTCCAGGCTCTTAGCTGAGGTGAGTATAATGTCTTTGCTGTGGCACAATACTCTTTCCTTCTGTGAATGATGAGCTGAACAGTTCAAATTTCTTCTCAACTTTCTCCCAGACCTGCTTGTTATGTTCTCTGGTCTTTACGGTGCTGTTTGTTTACTAATGTTCTCTAAGAAACCCCAGAGGCCTTCACCAAACAGCTGCATTTATACTGAGATTAAATTACACACAGGCACACTGAGTAATTAGGACACTTCTGAAAGCAATTGGTTGCAGTGGAACAACAAACTGAATTCATGTGCACCACCACATTTTTCAGGTGTTTACTTGTGAAATATTGTAGAAACCATGCATCCTGTTCCCTCAACTTCACAATTTGTTGAGTCAACTTTGTTCATCAAATGAAATCCCATCAAAAATACATGTAGGCTTGCTGGTTTTAATGTTAGAAAATGTGAATGAGCTATGAATACTTTTGCAAAGTGCAGCCGGTAGAAGCCTATGATTCAATAAAACTGTTGTGCATTGGTTTGCAGGTTTTGATCGTGCGGCCCAGATTCCCGTAGCTGAAGTGAATCCTAAGCAGAGTCAACCTGTGGCCCAAATACAGATGCCTGAAAGAGTCCAGGAGGGACTCAACAGTCTTTCTTTAGAAGAGAAGAAAATCATGCTCTCTTTGGACAGACTCAACCACCAGCTGCACTGTGAGCAAAATGGAGGCTATTTGCATGAGTCTTTGACTGTTTGAGTACAATTTGACATTGGCGTATGCATCTCATGATACCCTTTGCTATTACATGTGTAGGTTTGAAGTCACATCGGCAAATCAAAACTGACAACAATGGTCATATAATTGTTGGTACACCCATTGTAAGTATATTTAAAAGTTTGTATCTGCCTCAACACCAAAATTGTGTTTGTTGGAAGTGTTTATGTCTCACTTTGTTGCTCTGTTTTCAGACCAAAGAGTCAAAAAATCACAAGCATCAGGCATCGTCTGCAAACCTGCTTCATTACCAGAAGAAAACATAGCATGTTTTATTCTTCAGTCTCACCATTGTTTGTGCAAAACCTCTTATTACCAAAAAATGTATTTTATCAAAGGTGCTTAGTGGAGTTTCTCAAAAACAGAAATGATGAAGCATCACTAAATGTGACCAAATCTGAACCCTGAATTTAGTTTTGGGTAATACAGCACTTTCAAAAAAGCCTTGTTTTTTGTTATTCTACAATCAGGGAGTGAAAGTTGATGCCTATATGGATTCATTTCTAAAATCCAAATACCATATGCACCCATACCTTCCAAATGTAAGGTATTACTTTCTAAAAAATACATACAAACATACAACTTACTACATTTCTATGTATTTCTCAAAGCTCTTGTGTTTAAAAGTATAATTTGTAGTTAACACGCAGTTAGCCGACTGGGTTAAGTCTGCTTGGCACTATCTTTAACTACTTATAGGCATGTCAATAAATCGACTGTGGCCTGGTAAGGATGTTTAAATAAAGCGTTGCAGTGATGAAGGTGTGTTTGTCTTTGTTTTATGGCTCCAGAATAGATTATTGTGTTTTATGGGCCTACTCGCTCAGCACGAAGAGCCTCCTTATTTTTTTTCAAAGTGCACTGAATTCTACTTTTAAGTCTCGTCCTATTTATTAATGCCTTCAATTTAAAGCGACATCAAAAGATGACACACTGTACTTATTTCATTTCGCTTGTGGGGTGGTGCATTTCTTTGCTTTTAATTACAAGCTTTTCTGCCCTCCTCGCTCAACAATGGGAGCACCAGGGGGGAAGAAGCTGCAGGGATTATGCATGTGTGGTAGCTGCCCCTCCTTCAGTAGCATGTCTGGTTTTGCCCCTTACTGAGCCTGCTAGGACTTGTTCCAAGAAGTGTTAAAAAGTTCTTTTCAACACGGCTGCAACTTTTTTTCTTCTTTGGTTTAACTGCAGGTTCTTTGAGTGATCCGAGAAGAAGCTATAAATAACAACGTGACAGCAGTGTCTCACTGCCATATAAGGCCATTCATATTCTCCCTTTCTTTAATCGTAAACCAGAACTGAGAACAGATATGAAAACACTTTAAATCACAAGTTGTGTTCAAAGAGATCAGTATCAGATCTACGTTTTTTTTTAATCAGACAATGCCACTGATGTAACTTATTTATGAAGAATAAACTTGTTGAATAGCTAAGTATTGAAATTTAACACTTTTCTAATAGTGGAAATATTCAAGTTATTTTTTTATTTGAATTGCTGTTAATCTTGAAATGTTTTAAGTGCAATACAATACAGCCACATCATTTCTGCTATTTTACTGGGTAGTTTAAGTGTAACTGAAGACATACATGCATAGCTAATCTGTTCAAACAATTAAAATAAATAGCATTTTTTGAAAGTTCCATCTGTTCTGTGACAGATCCGACCTGAAGTTGGTTGGGCTGGTCCCGATCATGTAAACCTTAGCCAGTCTAATAATTAAAAACTTAACAAGGAAGGGCGCGCATAATAGATTTTTATAGGTGCAGGTACAAGCCTGTGCAGTGGTTTGTTGTGAAGCCTGCTCCCTAATAAAGCAATTTTAGACAGATCTGGCCTTTCCTTTCAATGTTATTCAAAAATTCAATGTGTTGATCTCTCACATAAAATCAATATCAAAAGGCATATTGTGAACAAACTGAATGCTTAAATGCTTTTGGGAGGCATTGTTTGCTTTTCATATGTCATAAATAAGAACATGCTGCAAAATCGATCCAAACATGCTGCGGTCTAGTTCAGGTGTTTTATCTAAAACAGCCAGGAGGGGGCGCCCGAATTCATTTCTACTGATGTCTAACTTTCTTCTGACTCCATCAGACAAAAGTATTTGTATATTCCGGACAAAAATAGTGAAATATCCCAGATGAATTAGGATTCCAATAAATAGATCCAATCACAAAAACCTTTCCACTGATATCCTGCAGCACTGATCATCACAGAGTTTGCCCACTTGACCACAAGTGGGCAAACTCTTCTAAGTGGGTGGTCTCTTCAGAGCTACACTGAGTCTTCACGACTATCTCTTAATGTGTCTGAGAGCCGTATGATGGCATGAAAATGACCACTTTCAACCATACCATGGGAAATTTAAAGACTGGCCACAACTGCACTAACCTTCAAAGTAATTTTGGAATTATATGCTTTATATAATCAAATAAGATCTACTTTAATTTAAAATACTGAAGTAAAACATTTTATGTATTAGTGCTTAGAGACAGCGATTGGGTGAATTAGGAATTTAAATCTGAGATTTGCATCAGTTCACAGACATGTTAATGTAGCTAAAAATATACAAGCAACTCTGAGGCTCTTTGCATTTGTTAGGAGCTTTCTGTGTCTGTTGATATTTAATAGGGCTTCATAATCATTTATTCAGTGGATGTATGGGAAAAGATGAAACGGAGCCTCAACATTCAAAGAGAGAGGATCTTGACAGAATGATTTCTCAATGGAAGAGAGGCCTCATTAGCATAACAATTGTGGGAACTGAAAAGGTCTACTTTCCATGAACACTGTAAAAAAAATAATAAAAGGGATTGAGAGTGAGAGAGGGAGAATAAATAGTTCTATTGCCCACTGATGAGTGACGATGCCTTGCATTTATTGTTAAAGTTCTTGGGAAAATGTGTCATCAACCTCATTAGGCGGACACATGAGTGTGTGTGTGTGTGTGTGCTGAGCTGTGTAAAAAGGTGTTCTGCAAATAAAGTTTTATTGACTAACTTTAATCATGATCAAGATCTTTAATGACTGATATCATCGATCTGATGCTAGGCAGTATAAATTAAATAATCAAGGTAAGATTGATATTACCAAGCAACAAAATTATATCATATGGTAGACTGAATATTTATACTTTTATCTTCAGCTTCATTGAAGATTATTAGCAGACTTGGGTTCATAAATACACCACCAAGACCATTTCAAAACGTAATGATACCTAAAACCTAGTATAATAATTAAAAATAGCTAAATAGATGTAAAAACAGTCAGGGTATAACAAACAAAAAGCAAGATATCCAACATACAGACTGCAACCAGTGCTCCCAGGGCTGGATTAAAGAGGGGTTGGGCCCTTGGGATGGAGGTAGTTTTGGTGCCCCACCCACACAGGTTTCTGTCAGGCGTGCAAATCACAATTGAGCAATAGTCATTTAAAGATATTTAGATTTTATTGACATGAAAATATGTTTACCAAAATGTCAACAAACTTTAAAAAAAAAATCTCCTGAAAAAACACACAAACAAACAAACAACAAGATTACATCACAACACTTCACTTTGCATGGACTTTTCATTTTTCTTTGGACATTTGTGGAACTATGCAATACATATTGTCACTGCTGTCACTTCACCCTGTTTCAAAATACAGACTATAAACTGCATACTGAACGTATAAATTTATTTTAAATTTTTTTGCTTAGTATTTTGTAGATATGCTATTTATTTGTGTACATGTTCAAATTGTCTTTCCCACCAAAATGTACACATTACTTTTTTTGTTTGTTCTATAAAGTCATTGTAAAATATTATGGAATAAAACAATCATTAAGAGATTAGGATATTATTTGAATAAATAAATAAATAGACTCGTCAGGTTTCTTATAGTCCATCTGTACCTTTAAAGCGTCCTATCCCATTAGGAAGTCGGCCCCGCCTCTGACGCCCCATGGGCCATAAAGTTTGATCCTGCCCAAAGTTTAGGCTCAACAGGATGAAACTCCCCCCCCCCCCTCCCGAACCAGTGAGGAGCGCTGATTTGCTCAACCTTACCATGATTTTTACTGAAAGATAACTGAAGATAGTTCGAGTTTAATCGTGTGAAGAACCGTGTCAGCCAAACGTTCATATTGTTTAGTTTTTGGTTTTTTGGTTTGTTTGTTCCCCTCCTCAGTGTTTTGCGCTGCGCCTCTGCGGTTTTTTACTTTTAACTTCCACGAGCGGGGGCGACGACCAGATTCCAGAGTGGAGCAGATATGCGCTTTGTTACATTAGCAAGAATGCCAGCAGGAAACAACGGAGAAACGCCGCTTTTTACTGCCGATTCTGACAGCTAACGCACTTTGTAACAAAGTGACAAACTTTGTGTGTGTGTGTGAGAGAGAGAGAAGTAAACTTTTACAATGACGCTGGATATGCTTTACTGAGACGCGTCGAGATTTTCCAGATTTCCTGCTGCGTGTCAAAAGTTTGGGGATTGGCTCAAGTTTCTCTTTACTGAGTTTCTGCGCTCTAACTTTTTTATTTTGGGACACTTGGGAGGAAAAAAAGAAAAAGAAAAGTTGCTCCGACAGTTGCATTTTTTTTTATTCTTATTTGGTGGGGGAACATGGATCCGAACCAGCTCAACCCTCCAGCCGGACACCAGATTGTCCACGTACGGGGCGACTCGCAGACTGACCTGGAGCTACTTTTCAACAGCGTGATGAACCCGAAAACCTCTAACGTACCCCCGTCGGTGCCTATGAGGATGAGGAAGCTGCCGGACTCCTTCTTCAAACCCCCAGAGCCAAAGTCCCACTCCAGACAAGTAAGCCCGCCCTGCTTCTGCTGCGGCTCTGCTTAGAAATCCCGATTAAAAGTGGGGCCTTCCCGTGGGCCTTCAAACACTTCATCCCATTTAACTTGCTCACTTTCTCATTTTGCTGTCGTTTTCAGGCTTGCATAATTTAGAAAAAAAAATGTTCACGTGTAACAAAACGAAAACATATTGGTGCAGAACGTATAAAAATGTTGGAAGACGCAGGTCTAGTTAAAGTAGGACGAGGTTGTTTTCCTTTTAGAAATAAATGAATTAGAAGAGTTTTAGTGAACTCGGACGTCTGTTTGTGGAAGATCAATAATATTTCTACTTTTTAGCAGATTTTTTTTTCTTCTTCTCTTAATTCCACCCCATCTCTTCCCCCATCCCCCCGCCGAACTCCCTCCTTGAAGCAGAAGTTTTATAATTGGTGCGCATGCGTAACAGTCCCTGACTCCATTCTCTCGGTCAGTAGTTTTGAAACTTCAAAACAAATTCCAACCGAGTAAACACGAAGTTGTCTAAGTTGTGCTGACAGACCAATAGAAGTGGAACAGACTCCATCAGACTGTTGTGGTATTTTACAAAAGCAAATCAAAGTAGAAACAGGCTTACTCATTGGGTCTGCAAGCAAACCGCTACTGCTGTAGCAGACTGTTTTTACCCAGATGTTGCCATTTTTATGTTTCATTTTAAGGGGAAAAACTTGCGCATAAGTCTTCAGTCTCAACCCACAACCTTGCACAGATAATCATGGAGCATGGATGGATGTTGATGTCAGTGTTGTCTCTGAGGACTGCACCTCTGCACAATTTTGACAATTGTAGAATCTTGGATGCTTGTCCACATGTATAAAAATAGATGTTTCTTTGTTTATATCATAAATAAAGTGAAGCAAAATTTTCCATTCTTTCACTTATAAGAATGCAAATATTAACTAGAAAAT